TCAAAATGACCATACTTAGTTCGAAATGCAGTCTTCCATTCATCTCCTTCTTTGATGCGTACTAGATTGTATGCTCCCCGAAGATCTATTTTTGTATAGATCTTAGCTTAATTTAGCTGATTAAAAAGTCCGGATATTAAAGATAGTGGATACCTATTTTTGATGGTAATCTTGTTGAGTCCTCGATAATCAACACACATCCGCAATGATCCATCTTTTTTCTTCTCAAATAGAATTGGAGCTCCTGCTGGAGATTTAGAATGGCGTATGAAATTATTGGCTTGATTTTCTTCAATATACTCCTTGAGTTCAGCCAATTCATTTTGTGATAAATTATAGATTGGTTCGAATGGCGGTTGTGCTGCTTCTTGAAGGTCAATTGTGCAATCATAGGGACGATGTTCCGGGAGTGTATCCGCATTCTTTTTTTCAAATACATCTTAAAATTCTTGATATTGGCTTAGAATGCCACTTAAAGTCTTTTCACCAGTAGAAACGGGTATGGCATAAATAATATATGGTGATTCTTTCATAGCAGCATGCAAAAAAGCTTTTGCACCTATAAATACGGATTTAATTGAATAGAACTTATGACTCTCTACTTGATTAACTACACTGTTAGTTATACTTTTAGAGAAAGTAAGAGTTCAGGAAATCCAATCTATTTGAGGGTTGTATTTTTCTAACCACGATAAATCTAAAATGATTGAATTAGAGGGAGATCTAATGATATTAAATACTACAAAACTATTATGACCCTTGATTATTACTTCTATAGGAAAGGTTTTGTGAGTAATATCTCCAAAAGACAATGGACGACCATCTATGACTTCTACATGAACAGGTTTAGTTTTCTTTACTAAAGATATGCTATGTCTTTTAGTAAATTTTTCATCTAAAAAACATGCTGAGGCTCCTGAATCTAACAAGGCAAAGATTTTGTAATATTTAGGTCCTAAAATAACATTTAATGTAAAACAAGGAGAGGGCTCTGAGGAGAGAATAGGACCTTTACTAGATGTTGTGCAAGGTTCCAACCGCACGGTCCCTATTGTAGCTGGACAAACTCATTTTCTGACATATTGTCTTCTTTCACAGCCATACTCCTCATTTTGTGATTGCGTCATTTCTTTGGATAATGTTGAGCACTGTGCTTTGGTTCTCCACAATATAAACATAATCCTTCTTGACGGCGATGAGTCTTTTCTTGCTCAGTAAGAGGTTTGAAACGTACTGCATCAATTTACATATCCTCTACTTCCGAATGTACGTATTGAAGAGGTGTTGGTGTTGCCATTGAATTATAGTAACGTTGAGGTCCACTTGTACAATTCTCAGATCAGAATTCAAAAAGGCGATTGTCGCACTTCACAGCAAAGCCAATTGCTTGACTCAATGTTTGAGGATTAGGTAAGTTGAGCATTAATTTTTTTACCTCATATTGTAATCCGTAGAAAAATTGGCTAATAAGTGCAGCATCATCCCACTTGATATCAGTTGCAAGTTGTCAAAATTGTGAAGTATATAACGTTACTGATCGATTGCCTTGTCGTAAAATACGGATCTTATTGGTTGCAACACGAATTGCATCATGTTCTCCATACATGGATCGAAACTCCATCAAAAAAGCCTCTAGATTATTCAATATTGGATCTCGTTGTTCAAAAAAAGATGAAAACCACGATAGTGCTAAACCTGAAAGAAGCATACTAATAAATTTAACTTGCGATCCTGGAGTTGGATAGCTTTGGGGTTGAAGTTCAATCACAAGTTGCACTTGATTGATAAATCCTCAAAACTTGGATCTGGTATCATCAAACTTCTCGAGTAGGGCAATTCTTGGTTCTCTAACATTTGAAGGACGTTCCACCATAGGATAAAGGACATGGTTTGGTGCAGATGTTGAAGCAGCTCCAACCATTTCTATATCTTCACTTCCTGCCAATCTTATTGCTCCTTGTGGTGGTAAATTGAATTGATGCATCGCAAGCATTAACTCTCTCAATTGCTCTTGTATTTGTGCCATTGCACTCTTCATTTCTACAAGTTCTGCCATGATAACACTTAAAAGAGAGGAGATGTCTAATATCGCTCAAGACAAATAGAAGAGAGGACTTGAGAATAAAGAAAATACTAAGGACAATATCAGTTTAGAAGAGGGTAATCCGCAACTTCTAATATGCTTATATCTTATCAAAAAAAAAGGGGATAATCCACTCTTAATCAAGATTAGACAAAGCTCTGATATTGTAGGTGTATTCTTGTCAATCTGTCAAGGACAAGAACTCGATGAAAAAATAATTCACACAAGTGAGCCTTCACTCAAAGAGAGGTAACAAAATATATATAAACAAGTATATATATTGAAAGAAAAACTGGAATGGCTATTGCCAAAAGACAAGAAAACTAGAGACCCTTGAAACTAGACTAGAAGCAAGAAAGGAGTTGACAAGAGTGAAGAAGGCTTCACTCTTGTCTCTATATATACTATCTAACTAGGGGCTACGTGGCGACGTTCTATAGGACCTCCAATATGTGTTGACTTTGTAGGACACATGCCTTGACTTACAAGGCAAGTTCTTCTACGTGTGGGCCACATAGTTAGCTTGATCTTCAAGCTAACAACATGTGTGGCACATGGCCAACTTGTTGACCACGTTTCTAATCCAAAAAGTCAATTAAAGACACCTATGAAGTCAAAGTAGCATCTATGAAGCTTCTAGAAAGCTTCCATATTAAATACTATAAAATTTACTTACTTCTACCTATTTGTATATGTAATTACTAGCTTACATGATTATGTCTGTGACAATTAAGCATGATTACAGATTATTTTTTAGATATAGATAAAAATATATAATTGTAAAATTTATTTGAAAATACTAACAAGAGTGTAGAAGTGTTTTTTTAAAAAAAAACAATACATAGTAAAAACAAAGAGATTATTTTGAGGATTTCAACTTAGAGTTGTTTAAGGCTTTTATGTTATACAATAAAAATAAAAGGTAGAATAACAGTATTTCTTTGCAATTCTTTTCTAAGTCTAAGTGTTATAGTTTATAACTCTTTTTGTAGTAATTATTTGTCTATTTACAAATTTTTCATTATACTTATTTATTTAAAGTATAGTTTTATATATTTTTGTATTAAACTATTAGCTATTACAATATATAAAATTTAAAAGCTAAAAGGTTAAAAATCATAAGGTTATTTCCAGAAACTATTATCAAATATATATATATATATATATTTATTTATTTATATATATATTTATTAATATATATATATATAATATATTTATTAATATAATAGCTTAGTCAAATTCAACAAACAATGTAGGTAAATTAGATGCAACAAAAATAAAACCATAAAATTCACAAGATTACCATTGTAGTAAATCATACTTTCATAATGATTGAAGTTTATTATATACAAGTATGTACTTTTAAGAAAAATTAAAATAAAGTTAGGTCTAAAATTCAATTTTGCTCATATAAGCTGAAATAAATTTAAAAATTTGTCCACATGCCCTTAGCAGCTATTACAGCTCTAATATGCTTATGCATGCTTTTATACAAGTTCTTATACTCATCAAGAGTAATTGAAGCTTAACTATTTTCAATACACTTCTATGATTCTAGCATTATTTTAGGAGGTGTTTCATATTGGTTCAATTGACGTTTTAAAGTTGCCCATAAGTATTCAATCAAATTCAAGTTTAGAAATTGTACCTCCTACTTCAAAAGAGTAAATTCTTGTGAATTGAGTCAATAACGCACACTCTTAGACATATGCTTGGATTTATTATCTTGTTGAAAACCAAACTTGTAGGATTTGAATTGTATGCATGCATTGTATTAATCAATTCTTACTCTAAAATCTCCCTATACATGCATTGATTTATTCTTCTCTCAATCCTATATATCATGCTAGGACCATTTGTAGTCATGAAACCTCACATCATCACTCCCCCACTTCCAAACTTTATTGTTTGTTGCTCCATTCTAGTATTTGAACTCTATCCATCTCAAAACCAATACCAACTATGACCATCAGAGTAAAAGCAATTGATTAACTAATTGCCAAACTTATAATTTGCTATATTACATCAATTACAAGTTTGGCAATTTATTAATTACATCAATTCATTAAAATAGAACTTGAATCACCAACTAATTAGATATTATTACAATAAATTACAAAGTACGAATGGCTAATAGTAGAGTTAGTGATTTCATACTTGATTTTGGCAATTACTATATAAATTAGCCAAATGTAATAGTTACAAATAATAAAGAAATTAAAAGCCAAACTTGAGACATTAAATTTGGTGGTTAATTCTAATCATGAATCCAGAGTCTATAATTCATGTGAATTTTTTAGAAGTAGATTCAATTGAAGTAGAAAATAATAAGCAATAAATAAGTAGGGATAGTGCAAATTAAACGTACTAGATAATAATTTATAAGATAAGAATCATCTACAAAGTTTAGTGCAAGGATTGATTTGCATTATCCACATTGCAAAGGTTGAATTTGATACCAATTGTAAAAATTTAAACTTTCCTCTTTTAAAAAAACTTGACCTTTATATATATATATATATATATATATATATGTATATAAATGACATTCCAAATATTCCAAATATATATAATATTCCAATTATTTCAAGGATGCCAACTATATCATGTATATGTGCATAAATATGTACACTTATAAGAGCTATATGATAATATACTACTGGAAACTCATGTTGTTGGGAATAGAAAGTTCATCTCTTGTTTATTTCTAATTTATTTTAGTGTTCTTTTGTTGAGTTTAAATCAAATCCCCTTTCAAGTTTTCTCAAGACACAACTAGTCAGTAAACATTCTCTTGACAAACTGTGGAAATGTATGAGATGTTCAACCAAGGTGATCGAAAGGAGGTATTCTGAGGTCGAGATAAGCAGGATAACTAAAATGAGCCAATGAAATGCTACATACAAATCTCAAAACGTTGAAGAAAACGTTGGTGTCTCTGCACACCGTGGTAGTAATCCATAAAAATGGTTGCAATTGCATAAGGGTTGAGGAGAACAATGACTAGAGTACATATTGAACAAAGGAGCAAAAGATTTCCCTTCTACAGCTTCCCAACAGCCATCTTACCACCTTCACAGTACTACAAGAATATGATGCGCAACATATCCTACGAGGACTTGGTCAGCTGAGCCTTCAGGTCCTCTCTTGCTTTCTCAAGTGCTTCATCCAATTTCTCGGGTTGCCTTCCACCTGCTTGTGCAAAGTTGGGCCTCCCACCCCCGCCTCCTCCACATATTTTGGCAATTGTGCCCACGAATTTTCCTGCTTGAATCCCCTGCTTCACAACACTCGGGCTAAAAGTGGCTACTAAGCTTACTTTGCCATCTCCAGGAGATGAACCCACAACGACTGCTGCAGGGTCACCCAACTTTGCAAGGAGGTGCTCAGCTGCAGCTTTTAGCGACTCTGCATCAATTTTGTCCAACGAAGCTACTAAAACCCTGCGCACAAAAAAATGGGTCATAGGAGTAAGGACGTTTTCACCTTGGACATTCTTACAAGAAAGAGAGCACACGGATAAACCAAGGAACAAGAATAATACCTTGTGCTGGAATCACCAATGGACGTAGCTGTCGATAATAAAGCTTCTGCCTTCGCCACTGCAAGCTCTACACGCAGAGCAGCAGCTTCGTTTCTTGATGCGCGCACCTCTTCTTGCAGGCCTACCACCCGACCAGCCAAATCGTCGGCCTTGACCTGGTCATTAAAACGAGCCGTCAGTATCAATACACACTTTAACACTTGAAAGACTAGGATGCATAAACCTGGAATTGGACAGGCATGTGAAAAGTAAGTTGACAAATGAAATAGTAAACTTTATGCGCACTGATGTACCACCCTCTAACAAAACACATCAACCTAACAAATGTAGCTGCAACAATAAAAGGCTATACATTAGTGACTATACCTTGAGTGAGGCACTGAGCTGCTTCACCACGGCATCTCGAGCATTGATATACTCAATGAATGCATTACCGGCTACAGCCTCAATCCGCCTAACTCCCGACGCAATTCCTTGTTCAGACATTATTTTGAGACCTCGTATCTCAGCAATATTCCTCACATGAGTTCCTCCGCAAAGTTCCATGGAAATGCCTGGCACGGAGATCACCCTAACCTGCCATCCACAAATGCACAAAATGTTATGGTGGTTCCTCGCTATATAATACAGGAATGAGTGAACACAAACTTCAAGGGACTTCGAGGATGTGACCACAAACCTGTTCCCCATACTTCTCCCCAAACATGGCTATAGCTCCCTTCTCTTTAGCAGCTGCAATAGCCATCTCTTCAGAAGTAACAGGTACTCCCATACCAATCCACTCATTGACAAGCATTTCAACCTTATTTATCTCGGCGTCTGTCATCGCTCTTGGCAGATTAAAATCAAATCTAAGACGATCAAAAGAGACTAAAGATCCAGCTTGTGAAACATCAGAGCCCAAGACATTCTTGAGAGCTGCTTGTAAAAGATGTGTTGCTGTATGGTGAATCTGCACCCAAGACATACATTCCACGTATAACCAACGAGCTTGGCAGTTGGTTTTTCTGAAACCGTAGTTCAATCCATTTTATCAAATCAAAACATATTGCAAGACCTAGTTGAGGGTTCTTTCTGATGATAAAAAAACAAGTGGACACTAACACAAAGAATCAAGTATAAAGAGACCACCAATCCCATGTTGACAAGTTCCAATAAGCATGTCATAACATAGACAAGATTTTTATAGAAATAATGTGCACTAAAACAAATAATGAAAGCAACAGAGATTTACTTTAAGGCATTCATTTAAAGAAAGTGACTTGAAAGCACATTTGTCATTTTACCTGTGCTCGCGTTCTTAAGACGGGATCAACCTCAGCCTCCACACCCAGCCCAACCTTTACAATTCCGTCTTGAACAACTCCAATGTGGCGGAATCTGCCAGCTTCTTTCACGACGTCTTTCACTTTCACCACGGCTTCACTATCTCCACCGAAAACCCGGAGGTAACCATGATCACCTACCTGTCCTCCGGACTCAGCATAAAATGGCGTTCTGTCCAAGAGAAGCTCTACCTCCTCTCCTTCTGAGGCTTCACCCAGTGCTTCACCATTGGCAAGGATGGCCAATATTGAAGAAGAACTTGTGAGATCATCGTAACCAAGAAACTCAGTTTCGGGTACTTGAGCAAGCATTTCCTGAGCAGCCCCTCCTACTGCTAATTTTATTACATTGTGAGCAGCTTGCGACTGTTTTCTCTGAATTTCCATTTCCGATTCAAATCCTGCAAGATCGACAGTCACTCCCCGCTCAGAGGCAACCTCTTCAGTGATTTCTACCGGGAACCCAAAGGTGTCATAAAGTCTAAATACGTCTTTTCCACTCAAACACGGCGTGTCGGTCCCGCGTTTCTCCAACGCTTCTGCAAGCAGTTCTTCAAGCAACTTCTCCCCCTTCTCTAACGTTTGCACGAAGCGTAACTCTTCTCTTTTCAATTCATTGTAAATCTTGATCTTTTGTTGCTCGACATTGGGGTCAACATCTTTACTCATAGCAACCGCAACCTCTGCAACTGTTGGTAAGAAGGCCCCTTCTTGGTTTCCTTGACCGTCGCCACGAATTCCCAGCAAACGACCCATGCGTACCACACGTCTAATAAGTCGTCTAACTATATAACCCCTTCCTATATTTGATGGGTACACACCATCAGATATAAGATACACTACAGCTCGGGTGTGATCTCCAATGACCTGCCCTTAAGACAAGGATAGATGTCATTGCTAGGCATTAGCAGCTATGACCACCGCAGCTGAATATGATAGATTGCTAAGAGAACTTGATTTAGTTAGTGATTAATTGGTGATTTGTGACTCAAATGAGAAAGGAGTACTACATCCATTATACTAAGTGTATAGAAGTATTACATCACCTATTTTATACTACAATGACTTCAGACATTTGTGTGCATGATGGAAATAGTAATTTTTAAGAGAGATCTAAAACATGCTGTATTCTCTTCACAAAAAATCCTCTAATACAAACAAACATTTAGAATAAAATAAACTTAAAAGGATGTGCAAACCTTCAGATATGTTTTAACCCGATCATCTGCTGATTGATAATCCACATTAGCGAGTGCAGCAGCGCGCGCTATTATTGGGTATATTAAATCTGTCTCATAGTTGTTTGGAACCTGCATCAGTCATGAAAGCATAAGCAAATAAATATGTTGTGTAAGTCCACAATAAGTGCTGGGGTATTGTGCATTGTTCCTACCGACTACAATAATTTAGCAGGGATACTCAGAATAACAATGTTTCAGTGCAAACCTGCTGAAGAATCTGAGCCATGCGTTCTAAACCAAGGCCAGTATCAATGTTTTTATTCTTGAGAGGCTCGAGTTGTCCATCATCAGTACGGTTGTACTGCATAAATACTAAATTGTAGAATTCGATGAAGCGGCTATCATCATTCAAGTCCTGTTTGAGCACGCTCCAGATATTCAGCGACACATAAAGATTTGCAATATGTCGGGGAACAAAACTGACTTGTATTGGAAGGTATTAGAAACAAATTACAGCCAAATTGCCAAAAGTTATGTAGATTATTCGCAACTAAAAGCATTCGAAACAAGACGATAGTTTGTAAAGCTGCCAGAAAAGCATGTAACAAAATTACTAGTATGCATGTAACGGTTAACAGAATCAAAAGCCATGTAAAAATTTATGTCTGGTGAGGCGTAAAGACAAATGTTCCATTCAGAGAATCTACAAGGTGCCAAGTCCATACCGCATCGTCGGTACCCCGCTCAGGATGAAAATCGAAATACATCTCTGAGCATGGCCCACAAGGGCCAGTAGCACCGCTTGACCAAAAATTGTCTTCAGCTCCCATACGCTTTATCCTCTCCACAGGAACTCCCACCTTCACATGATGCAGATAAATGTCTAATCAACCGCCCAGATGACTTTCGCAGACAGATTTTGTATCACCCTCAACAGCTTAACCATATACCCCTTATTTTTCTGGATAACAAAACCATGAAACGATTTATTTCAATTCACCAGAGAAAATTCAGGATTTTATACCTCATCCCGCCATATGGCAAAAGCCTCATCATCGTCCTCAAAGACACTGACCCATACCCTCTCTAAGGGGAGCTTGAACCTGTCCAAAATAATTCAGTTTCCAATTTCAGATGTAAAATACGCTATGCACTTATTGAAAACACCTGGGAAAATGCTAACACCACAATCCTATGCAGATGTAGGCAGTCCTGGTTTTCCAAATTAGGTCTTCACGTAAAACACCAGATGCACAAGTGTTCTTCAAATTTAGTCTAGTAAGATTCCTTTGTAGGTGACAAATAAATTTTCAGTGTTGATTACATTCTGATCAGAGAAACAGTCAACACCCTAAAGTTAGGATACAACCAAAAAAAAACTATAAATTCACGAAAAGCATCAGATGAGAGATCCAGTCAGATGGGATGAGAGACTGCTTACTCTTGAGTGGCCAATTCCCACGCCCAGGCAATTGCTTGTCGCTTAAAGTAATCTCCAAAACTAAAGTTTCCTAGCATCTCGAAGAAAGTATGGTGGCGTGCAGTGCGACCGACGTTCTCAATGTCGTTAGTTCTAACAACCTTCTGCGTGGTCGTCGCACAAGGATATGATCTCGGCACCTGGCCCAGAAAGATAGGCTTAAATTGCAGCATTCCCGCTATGGTGAGCAGGACTGTCGGGTCATCAGGTACTAACGATGAGCTCGGAAGGACCTTGTGGCCCCGGGCAGCATAGAACTCAAGGAACCGCTTGCGAATTGCATCACCTTTTATCTCGGGATCAAGCGGTTTCAGTGACTCCGTCGTTCCTTCCTTGACAGTCTCTGTGAGAGCTGCGTAAGCAATCACACAAAAACGGGTCAAATTAAACATACTTCAGAAGTAGACAGTGAGAATAATTGATAGTATGGATCAAACTTGAGCATCTCCGTTCGTTCCGCAACCTACAGTCTTCAATCCTCAATTGAAATTTATTACTGTCGGGTATTACCTTCTCCTTTACATCATATAAAAGTCCATGGCCTCCACTAAGTAAACGATATACTATTGATTTCTCAGTGATTCAAATTCAACAAAGTGAAGACAAGATTACCTGACATTCTGCAGGTTGCGAGCATTCCCCTACGATACGACGTCGTGCTGACTGAAGACCGGCCACATGCTGCTGTAATTTTCTTAGAATTGAGGAATAGTGTGCTCCCTAGATTGATCTCATTTACTGTTTCAGAGACAAGAGTTGACACTTTTATAAGGGGAATTCTTGCGGTCCTACCGAAACCGGAAAGATAAATATTCAGCTGCTATTCAGCATTTCAATCTGACAGGATGTGTGATTCCAATTGAACTAGTAATAGTGCTACAAATCGAGATAAAAATCACTCTGCATACCTGAAATGTGGCACAAAACTGATCTGTTTAACTGAGCAACATAGTAATGACGAATGGAACCAGATGCTCCCAACGCGTGCACCGATTTGAATAAAGCACCCTGCAATAATACGTCAACACATCAGATGAGACTGAAGTCCAAAATGCGAAAATAAACTAAAAGCTAGCATAAAGACGTGACATACTACACTGAAGAATTAAGAGTTACCTTCAACATTGCAGGCAAAGCCAGAGCATGCGTGGCTTGCATTGCCTTTGCCATAGCTGGAGATAGATCCCACCCCTTGTGGACTACCAAAAGATGAACTCAAGCCGATCCAATTTATTACATATTACTAATCAGCTCTACGGTCCATCCTGCACAAACAAATCAAGTTCCGTCATATCATCACCTTAACCATGCTTCTTGCATGGAACACAATCACTTTCGTATAAACAACTGATCACCAGATTGTATCACCAAATTGCGATTCTCACGATCCCTCGATTCCTCCACACCAAAATCTGGCTATTCTGTAAGGAAATGGAACGGGCAGTTCAAGTCCTATCTCAGGATGTAGATGCACAGACATTATCCCACCGTATTGATTTGAACAAAACCCTGAACCCTCAATCGCAAGCTACAGAAAATTCACATAAAATCTAGTGTTTAGAAAGCACCCAGCTATGAGGTGCAGAGTTTTCTCTCCTTCAACGACGAAATTTGAAACAATCACCGCAACACTGAGACGCCACCTAAAAATGCACCAGACAAGCAGAGCACCGGCTGTTCCAACCTCTAAATTCCGGTTCAGAGCTACTGAAGAGCATAACAAGGATGATGTAGCAATTACGAAGCACCCCTAACAGCTTGTGGGGAGCACAGCAAATCTTGCGTAGATGCAAGTACTCCGCACAAGTACTGAATTGCCACGCGACGTTTCGACATACCCAACTAAAATAAGCGGTGAATTGAGAGAGAGGGCGAGAGAGAGAGGTCAAGAAAAGCTCGAACTCACACACAGCCATAAGCAATCTAGGACTGTGCCAAATACATACTCACCAATAGACGTGAGCTGCAACTCAAACAACTCCCTCTCTACCAAGTCATTATAAAATAGATTCGTGAACCTAACTGCTTCAAGTATGTAACGCCCAAAAATACAATTACAAGTTCAAAATTTGCCCCATTCACAGAACTCCCCACACTCCAGTGCAAACCCAGGAATTGCGGACGGTGGGTGTCAAAGTGCGGGAGCTGAAATGTGAGCAGAAAAGTACCTGTCAGCACCAACTGCTGCATAGAAATCACTCCTTGTGAACAATCTATCGAAGCTGAGCCTCTATAAAATGAGGCGTCGATTGCAAGTCAAAACTTAAAACCCACCAACGACGTCCATCGACTCCCCACCGCCAAGGATGAGCGGATCCAAAATCCTCAGAAACCAATATCGAAAACCCAGTAACAAACTGACACGTCGGCAGGGGAGCACGTCGGTTATTTAATATGTTTTGCTGGCTAATTCTTTTTGTCAAAACTCATTTCCATGTCCATAGAAACTGATCTCGATGAGAAAGGAGGCAACAATTGACGAATGCTGGACTCCAATTCGACGAGATAAAAGTACTCGCCACCAAGACCTGGAAATTTGTGGCTGAGATTGAGCAGAGGATACTAAAGGGATGAGAGCTTGTGATTTGTTAGTACCGCCAGTTAACAATCTCTCCCGGGATAGTTGAACTTCACCCTTGTAACCGTCTTCCGATTGTAGCAATCCAGGGTGGCTGGAACACTTGCAAAAAAATCAATCGCAAGCGGTGCCGCCGCAGACACCGTCAAGAGATCAGTAAATTCCTTCATCCATTAAAACTTCACGTCACTATTTAGCCAACACTTCGGCTTATTTCGATCCTAGGGCTTTCTGTCTTCAGCACAAATAGTAGCCTCTCGACTGTTTATACCTAAGCGGAGTGCTATACAAGTTCTTAAGGCTGTGCAGAGCGTGCATAATTATGTGACTTCCTTGCTGAGCCGGAAAAAGGTCACCACATAGCGACGAGTTGTTTTCGGCGGATCGGCGGCTAGGGTCTAGGATTAACCTTCATCAGCGGATCAAGCTCTCACTCTAGATTGCCCCTCTTGCCATTTCATGATACAGTCTCAGCAGATGTTTATACAGCTGATCACTAAAGCACAGTTCAATTGCAGCGCACATACAAATCTGAACTTTTCTCCATTCAATATAAAATCTAAAATTCAAAACACAAGCATTTTTTAAAGATAACTGCGGGGCGATCTACCGCAGTGGAGACATGGCCGGTTCTGCAATCACCCACCGGGCAGCAAGCATCACTCCACTACTGACCATCACCAACTTTGTACACAACATCAATACCTATCTAGGAATGTGTAGCAACTATGACCTCTATTTCTTCGTTTGGGAGGCCATTGTTTAAGACCACACGAAAGGTTGATATCTGCTCCCCATCCAACCCTGTTCAGCTAATTATACATTCACGTGGATTTCCATTCCCTCCATCATCGGAAGAGTCGTCATCACCTTCGAAGTCGCTGTCCAGCACGGCCGCAATCTCGTCATCAAAAGAACCCCCCTCGAAGGAAACGCGAGTATAAGTTCCACCCTCGCCTTCAGTTGGTATTTGAAGATGTCGCTGCAGGAGCAGCGTTCTCACAAGACCTGCGGTGAGCGGAACGCTCGATGCATGGCTCTCTCTCCTTCGTTTGTTGATCTTCATAACTCTCTCAGCATCCTGCGGAAGCTCAAGGATGCGCTCCGAAATAGGAGCCCAGACTTTGATGGTTTCGTCAATACCACTGGTGGCCAGCACGGTAGCATAAGGATGAGGCTCAAGACAATTCACGACTTTATTGTCTCCCTTGATCAAAGCAACAAGCTCCCCGCCTTTCTTCTTCCAAATAAAAATTCGCCCACAGTCTGAGCCACTGACGACGTATTCTGTGTTAGGACCCAAAAAGTTGACGCCCTTCACAGTCTGGTGATTTCGGTGACCCTCGTATACTTGCGGCTGTGGAACGTCCTGCTGAGATCCCTCACCTTCATCGTCACCCTTCCAATCATCTTCTGAGTTTCTCTGTTCCGGCCCAGAACCCAAGCTCATGCTTTTGTCGAACAGGTAAATGAGCTCGTCGTTGTAGGTAACGAGAAGTTCCTCTTGGTGAGAGTAGGCAACACACGTGATATGTTCCTCGTGATCTGCGCATCCTCATGTTCAGAAATACTGAAAATGCCTGTATAATTTCAAAGCATTTAAACCAAACTTAAGGTGCTGAAAGAGTAATATCACCTACCCTCAAAATTGGCAATTAGTTGAGAAATTCAAGAGGTTCTAGAGTAAACGTAATCAATTGTCCGCAACAGTCAGTTCTCAGTATTATTACAAATATTCCAAGCATGATCATAGCAGAGATCATAGAAACAAAGACTTGCCTCGCCCTTGGAGATGTTTTGGAGCATAACACTGAACAGGATTGTCTTCCATTTCAAACCCATTCGCATTAACTCGCCGCAAGTCATAAACGCGTGCATATTGATCAGAACCCCCTACAGCGAAGTAGTTGAAGTTTCTTGGGTTCATGACAATCGCATTCAGCCGGACTACTCTAGACCGACTTGGCTTGCCAGTGCTTGCTCGAAATTGATGACAAGTGAGGAGCTTTGTACTTTTCTCCTCCCGCAAGTCAAACTGTGAGTAGCAATTTCAGATAGACCGGAGAGAGGGCGATGAGTACTTACCAACCAGCTCACCAATTCAACAATACAATTGCCTTAATATGAAAGATTATGTAAAGGAACCACAAATAGGTTCCTCGTTATGCAGGTTTCTTTGAAGATGCTGAACATAGATTTGTGGCTATATTTACAACAATTTTTCAAAGAATGTGCCTAGAATACTGACCATCAACTCATAACTGGATACAAACCAATCCACCCACTATGTTCTGTGCTTAGAACTGCAAGGAGGAAGAAGATCATACTTACATGTCGAACAACACCATCTTCTCCACAGCTGTAAAAAATGCGAGGGCTGCCAGGTTCAATTGCCATCTTGTGAGCACGGTTCCTATGTTTTGCAAGGTTCTTTGTGCTAACCCTTCCGTTTTCAAGAATGGTCCCATATCTCACCTGCCCCCATAATCACATGGTATTTTGAGATTTTTCTTAATGAAATTATACATTGTACAGAGAAGAGGGTCAGACAAATGAAACGTAAAAACAAATTAAGATATGAAAGAAACAGTCCAATCAAATAGGGAGAAAAAAAAAAAAAAAAAAAAAAAAAAAAGAGGAGAGAGAGAGAGCTGCAGGCTAAGACTTCAAATTCATGTACGCCAACATGAATATGAGATACCTTTCTCACCTAAAAACCACTGCACGCACCCATGTAATAGGCTAATAGTGGTGACGACCTGGATTACTACTACACGATTAATTGCAATAGACAATATGAACTGCAACCGAAAAGAATAAAAATGAACAAAGAAAACCAAATAATCGGCCTGGTAAGATAAAAATACTCTATTTTGTAATGAAGTAGAAAATGGATGCTCCGTTGAAAAACACTTGCACAAGCTAATCTATTTGTACAAAATAAATAATAATAATAATAATAATAATAAATAAATAAATAAATAAATAAACAAAACAAAACAAAATAAAAATATTTATTTAACTTTATGTAATATTTTTTAGAAAAAAAAGGTGAGAAGGTTCAGCAGACCTGGCCATCAGCTGCACAGCTAACAATGATGCGGTCATCAGAGTACGGCATCACTCGGGCCTGAAACACGTTGTCTTCGTGACCTGATTCATAAGATAGAACCTCGGTTTTGCTTCCCCAATTCCACACTTTGATCTCCTGGTCATCTGAACCGGACACTAGAAGCTCACCAGATGGGTTAAAAGACACTGTATTTACACACCCATTGTGTCCTTCCAACTCCGCGTAATTAATAAGACGGTGGATGAGATCCTGCAAGCCAAATATTTTGTTTTGAGCAATGATACTGGAAATCAAAGCAAGAACCATTCAAGGCAAGAATGAATACTTGTATCTATTCACAAACACTGCAGGCAGAAATAACCTGCAGTAAAACACTACTGAATCTTAACCTTGAAACAAATGAGGTCCTCATTCACAGTCCTTTTTTCAAGATATTCCTGTAAAATAGCTGTGAAATTCTCCTGTGACAACAGACGTCTACGCGCAGCAGAAAACTAAATTAGATTATTTTTTATTAAAAGGTTGAAAATTAAAAAATTATAATCTCTTGTATTGCCCGATTGGCAGCCAGATAGTACGAAATGAATTCACAACTCCATCAGGAAAGTGCTTTCATACCTCACAGCCACCGATCTTTCGAGAAAATGCAGTAGGAGTAACATCCCCAATCTGGCGACGCCAATGCTCGCCGAGGCCACACCTATACAAGTCCTTTGTACGGTACATCTTCTTAAACCCTGTTCCTAAACGATTAATGTAAATCACGTTCCACCAGCTACTTAATTATTTTCTATGATTTTCAATTCGCCCACTCAATATCTCATCCTTATTGATCTTGACAAGCTTAGAAGTAGATTAATTGGATTCCGTCTCTGTAACCCCTTTGCCATGATTTTCGCTTCTCGACGACTACTGCATCAAACCTACTAACATGTTACACCGATCAACAGTACCTCGTGAACTGCTAAACAGCGGATTCAATCTAACCCTACCAATCTCATACTGTTAACCTCAGCTTAAGGGTTCTTCCTGCACAAAACAGATCACGGTTCCATCTTTTTCTCAGCCTCATCACACTCCAACATCACCATCTGCAGCATGTCACACTAATTGCTTACAGACAAACAACAACATGGCAGAAACATTTCCAGATCATTAGTTCTCACGACCAACTCGATTCTACGACCGTTCCACACTCAAGCTCTGCATCAGAGTATAGGTTACTCTGTAATTAGGAAAATCTTATGAACAGTTAATGTCATAGCCTAGCTAGTAGGTGCATGCAGAGACACGATCTCTCTGCCTCACCCCAAGAAAAACCCTAAACTCTCATTTGTAGGCTCGGGCAGATTCGTGCGCAATCGAATCATCAATATTATTCTGCAAACATCATGCGCACAAATGCCGCAACACTATGACTTCGCCTAGTACGGCAACAGACACACTCATCTTCTGATCTTCCAGCCTCTAATTCTGTTCTCCATAACTGCTCACTATCACAGCAATGACGAGGTCTTTATCAAGAAATACCACCAGTAAAGCAACACAGAGCCCCGCAAATTATCACGGATGTAATTCCCCGAGACGGTACTCAATTGACACTCATAGATGCGACCAACCCAACAAAGGTCAATTCCGACAAACAAGAGGAACCGCGACTCCGTCTCACCCACAACCTCAAACAACCTGCGACACCAAGCAAAGTAGCTCTAATTCTACGACATACACCCTACCGACCATGATCTCCCCTCTACAACCAAATACACAAATCTTCGACATGGATCAATCTCCTGCAACTCCACTGAAATGCATCGTAACCACGCAAGGAGGGCTTAACCTTAACGAAGACCAGAGTGTGTAAATACGGCGCCAAGAGCTTGCTGATCCAACAAACTCCGCCGTAGAATTGAAGCCAGAAGACAAAGAGGATTTCGCATGTACGCCACGAATCCTGGGCAGGAGTAGCAGGCCATTGCCAGAATTCTGACAAAAATTCTAGGTGATTCGTAAACAATGCCGACCAACTGGCGGTATCGTGTAGCAAGACCCTCAATAGAATACAATATATACTTCTAACGAAAGCTGTTGGCAATCCGCCACTCTTTACACGAAAATTCACGGTAACTTATCCGGGTATACATCTCTCACGACGGTTTCGGCCCCGATTCGGCTGTAAATTCTGGCTAATCTCAAGATGCTGAGACTGAAGCTTTGCAACCAGCAGGATGTGTGAATGCGCTTTCGATCTTATGAGAATTCATCAAACGAATGAAGAGGAGAGCGAGGGAAAACCACCCCACCCAATTGCTCCCCCAAAGTCGCACAATCCAAGTCACTTCACGTCACACACAACGACACACAACTTGGGCCCTCGTGAAAAAATTTAACCACACTACGAGAGAACCCTCTCTGGATTTCCGGGTCCAAAACCTAATTCAGCATCGCGCAATCCTGCTGCAATCGTAAGGACTCGACGAAATGGTCAGATTCTCCCCCAAATCTTCGTGCACGCCCAGACGAGAGCTCCATCATTCCACCACCATGACCTACACGTAACAAAATACGCGTGCATGGGCGTCGACTAACCTGCTGCGGCGTAGTGTACATATGAAATGAGCGACGGTGTCTCGATGCAAAACAGAACTCTACGCGTCAGCTGAAGGGTCTACGAGCATTGTGGCCACCATCGTCGTCATCCCCATGGTTGAACACGTCAGGACGATATCAGAGCAGATTAAGCTATGCTCGGCATGGGGTCAAATTGTTTGCGACGATCCATGCGGGAAGATGGATGAGGACTGTGAAGGGCATCGCCATCGCCAACAGCACCGCCAGCGCCAGTTTTATTTGCAATTTTACTGTGTTCATGTGTTCTGTAGTTTTATCTCTCCATTTCAGAAGATGAAAGAAATGTAGTGCTAGAAATTTCGTTATGTCCGAAGTAAGATGTAAACAGCCAGTGATGTTAGTCCATTTTGAGGATGATGAATTGCTATGTCGGTGCAGCCGCACTTGAGTCGGTTCGCTGTCTATGACATTCTTTGACTCTTAACCTAGTTTACCGACTTAATATTGGAGTGTGATCTAAGAATAGTAATATATAAATTACCCAAATATATAAACAGAACATAGTACTGAGCAGGTTTGCACAATAATTGCCACCAAGACAAATGTTGGTGTTCAAAGTCGAATTGTAACCAAAAACAAATCATATAATTGATGTGGTTCATGTAAAGTCTTTGCACTACAAACCTCTATTTGGTACTTTTAATAAATGCAGTGGCTTCCGTTTCCCTCTCAGCCAACAAGTGTTAATTTGAATAGAATTTTTTTCAAGAATGAAAAACATTAGAGTTGCTAACAGATTAGAGGAGCAATTTTACATTAGAGGAGCAAATCCGAATTAGCTCATTCAGTTCACTGACATCCAAGAAAGAATGAACATCCAAGAAAGAATGATCAGTTATAGAAGAGGAAAAAAGATACTCTAAACTAATGAGTACACTTGCAATGATAAGATCTTAATTGTGCAATTACATTTTGAGGCAAAATCCAAGAACTGATTGCAATGATTTAGCAAAATCGGAAAGTGGTTTTTTGAGGAAAAAAATAAAGTACAGATTATTGAGCGGAATTTGTAGAACTGGCCCAAATATGTCCTGGATATCAACAGCTTCTGTCTAAGCCTATCGGGCTCAGAAGACATTGAAGCAAATGGTCCTAACGTACTGTGCGTTTTCGTCTTCAAAACGCTACAGAACATGAATTCGGAGCCATGTTTGAATTTGTACTGTACATGGAAGATGTCTATCTGGCCGCTGAGGGACGAGCTGGGACAGGAACGAAGCCATTAAGTGGAGTGCATTTACTGGAGGACAGCCATTTATATAAAGTTAGAAACCCAACAAAAATAAATTATCAATTAGGGCGAAAAGTTCTAAACAGCGAGCCATGCAACCATTCTTTAATGAATCGCAAGCAGATAAAATAACTCCACAAATGCAGAGAAGTGTATTCTACTGAGATAGATGCATACGAATGCTAGATAAATCACGGAGGGTTACTGAAGCAAGTATTTACCTCAATATGATTATGACAGTGGAACCTTGGAGTTGCATTAACGACAGAAGTCAGGAAAGCTCTGCAAATAACGCTGGAGCACAGCTACCACCCATACGAAAACCGAAAATTGAAAATCTACCTGCCCTTAGTAATCGAACACCTGCGACTTTTTCCAGCGTACTACCTCGCTTCACAGCAACCCATGCTCCATTTATCACAGAATGGCATGTCCTTCTCATTCAAGAACAGGCCAGCTTCAGGGTCTGTGGGACCAAGCAGAAAGCCTTCCAATGTACGGCATACTCCAGTGACAGTTTATAGCACCCTCACATGAATCTGAGTCCTTCAAAATGCCAGGGAACTTGTAGGACTAAGACGTCACTTCTAGTGTAAGAAGCCTGAAAAAATGGCAGAAAAACAACTCAGGCGATAGAATCCACATACTTGAAGTTATTCAGTTCACAATAACAAGCTTAAATAGACTATGCTTGAGAAGATTCAATCTAATGACGGAATCCTTTGAATATCAAAGGAATCGTAGGCAAAGAGTAGCACACAAATGCCTCCAATTCGCAAATAACTACAAAGGTGACCCGAGTACAGACGGTAAGACTTAATGTCGTGGTAAAAACTCACCTTTCTTGTTTTAAAACTCTAAGCATTAAGATCAAGACGCCCACTTTTCGCTGTCAACGGCGGCCTCCTCCTCAGAACGCAATCTAATGCGTGACATACTCCGGACAGGACGAGAACTCTTTGATGGAAGATCTCGTTCATCTTCAGCCTCAGGAGGAATGGAGGAAGCACCATCCGATAACTGTGGCTCGCCATGCGACTGTCGTCGAGGTTTATTAGGCTATTCAATCAAAATACAAGTGAGATTAGTGACTACAAGACTCACCACTACCAGGTGGTAGAGAACATGCACCAAATAAATAAAGTGAGACTAATATCAGAATGAAGTCAAGAAAGTAAGGGAAGAGTATCTTACATCCTTCAAACCATCAACATGGACAACAATGATGGTAATGTCGTCCGTCCTAGTTTCATACTTCAACCAAAGACGATGGGCTTCCTTCACAACAGCGAGACAAGCCTCCTTTGGATCCTGATATAATGCAACCTACAGAAATCGAAGTACACAGTCAGGCGAGAATCAAAGAAATCCAAAGCAAATCATTCTCATCTGGCACTAAGTGCATGAGAAACAAGTAAAATACGCAAAAATAAATAAATAAATAAATAGATAAGCCTAAAAAACCAAACAAAATATGCCAAATGCGCAAAACACGCAAGAGGTAAAACACGCAACGTTAGAAAGTGCAGAGAGTTAAGGTACGAACTATATCAACGACAGCCTGGCTTGAAAGAAACTCGAAGACACCATCGCTTGCTATGAGGAAGAAGGGATGACGAGGCCGAAGTTCTAGACACAACACCTCCGGTACAGCAGTGACACCTATCTTTTCAGCAACTGAGTCTCCAATGCTTCTGGTGAAAGCTGTGCCTGGATACATATCATCAGCAACCCAGAGCCGAGGTGGGTCCCCATCGTCGTGGTTCTCGTCATTCCAGCAGGGCACAGTAGCATCCTTCAAACCCTCCATCTGGTCTAGCGTCATCACCCGTGCCCCATACGCTTTCACACGCTCACACTCATCGGTCCGGTAAGGTGTCTGATCGAATGACAAATCTTTGGCTACGACCTTTTTGGATTTCCGAACCCCTAGAACAGCACGCGAGTCCCCGACATTAGCAACATATACTTTCCGGCCACGAACAAGAATGGTGATCCCTGTCGTCCCGCTCATTGAATCATCGTACTGACTGTGCTTGTGAAGCTCCGAATTAGTTTTCAGGTAGGCAGAGTGAAATGCCCGCACCACGTCGTTAGGGTAATGCGAGTCGTTTAGCATATTCTTCCAGAGGTGTTTCCGAGCAAAATCTGAGCAATGCTGACCGTATTCACCGTGCCCGTCAAAAACTCCAAAGAAATGGTCGTTTGGATCGCCACCGAAAGAGGTGTGAATGGTGAAGCTATCCTGATTAGCCTTGCGCAACTGATCCGGGTAATGACCTCTTTGAGACAAAACCGAGAAATTCAGCTCGTAATTCCCCTCTGGTACTTTCACTGTTTTAGAACCGGATGGGGGGAGGCACTGGTCTCCAAGTCCAGACTCCACAACTACAGGAGGAGCTCCCCCTTCGACAGTCTTAGAGTAAGGCGTATCCTGGTATAAAATTCCAGACTTCGACGATCGCTTGGGGTCTGGGGCTTTTGGCTTCGGCACGAACACAGGTTTAGGTTGAGTGGGCAGCGGGATAGTAATGTTCGGAACAGGCCTGTCGATTATGTAAGTGGGAGACTTACCTGGAGGTGTACCAGGTGTGTATTTCCCGGGTGATGCCCCGGTTGCGGAGGCATTAGCGCGTGGAAGAGGCCCACTGCCCACTGCCTGCTTCTTCCTCGATACTGGGGTGACAGGGGGTACAGGACCAGATTTGGCCTTGGGGCGGAGAGGAACTGGCGCTCCCCATTCATCGTTGTCGTGGCTAGCTGGCGTGTACACACGCCGAGGGTCTTTGGCGTCTTTGTTCTTAGGATCTTTACCCGATGAACTATCAGCCGACTTCTTTGAGTTCATGCACCCCATTATGTGTACGTGAATGGGAGAAAATTGATAACAACTACTAAAAAAGCAAAAGATTGTAACCCCACTAAAAGTCCACGAGCTGGAATTGAATGACGTCTATACTTTTCTCATGAGAAAGAGACATTGAACCCCTCCATTGAATCTGGCGTGTAACCTGCACATCACCGTGCTTAAAGTCAAAGACCGTGCTGGTCCTATGACACACGATCTGGTCTAAAAATTTACGAGCTTGTAAGTCTGCATCAAAAACCATATTTCTTGATGCAGAGATCAAACTACGATTGACAAAAAAAAAAAAAAAAAAAAAAAAAAAAATCGTGATCGAGAGTACTTACACATTGGTGATCGCACAATCCTGCTCTTTGCACATTTACGCTCCCGAAACGCCGCTCCTCCATCATTACCTGCCTCCATATTATCATATAACCTGAAGCTGATCTCGGGAAAATACCAACGAGTCCACCCTAAAAGATCCAGCGACTCTTGAAGGTCAATAAAGCAGCAATGCGACAACTCCAGATCCAAGAATCTAGGCTCATCAACCTCAAACACGGCATCCAACGCGAGCTCGTCGTAGGGATCAAACACCTCCCCATCTACCACCTGTAACCTAACAGTCTCCACCAATTCCAGAAACCTTAACTCTCTCTCTTCCTCGAGCGCGCAACACCGCATCAACCAAAACTCGCTCACTCATAACCTAATCTCACAGCACCGACGCAGGAATCCGCTCGCTAAGATCAACAAGCTCCTTGTCGACGACTACTCTACATACGACAATGCATGACGGTTTGGGACCCAGTGACCGCATTTGCAACCATAGCGACGTTGGAGACGAATGAGCAAAATCTACGAAGGGTGCGACGGGGGAATGGCATGATGGCACGACGCAGGTAGGGGGGAGGGGGATTCGGAGGGGGGCGTTAAAGAGCATCATCGCGAGGATTGGATCAAGCAAGCGCTGACAAGGAATCGGCGCGCGGCATCAGTCGGGGTGCAGAGCACCCAGCTCCAGACTGGCCCCTCCCCCTCGTCTCGCTCGCTCCCCGCGCTCCGCAGCGCACCACCAACCCTGGCCTACCGCAGTGCCGTCTCGCCCGTCGCTTTGCCGGGTTCACGTTAGTGGCCAGCCTGCCCGCCCTGCCCGCCTCCTCGCACCCCCCACTCCCCTGTGCTCCACGCCCCCCGCTCCGGCCCTTGCTCGTGCCCGGGTGCACAGAGGGGAGTTGCTCATCGTGGGCGGGGGTCGCCCGTCCTCCACCTTACATACATACCCCCGAGCTATGCTACCCCGGATCCATACTATTAGACGTGGCGCGGGTGGCTTGGCTTCCCATTACACCGCATCGCTTCTTCTTTTTATGACCCTCGTCGAATTTTCCCAGCGGGGTCGAATCCCTGCAACTCTGACTCGTGATGCGGATGACATTCAATAACGGATGCGATTCATCTCGACGAAGATTCTCGGTTTATTTCGACGGGGTCGATCCCGCGACCTCTGACGAGACGTCGGGACGAAATTCATAGATGAATGAGAGCCCTCCCATCGATGATCCTTGCCCATGTTCCTAATGTGTATATTTGGTTGTTCACATCCAGGTTCTAAACTAAGTTGGATCTGGTTGTTTAATATTTGCATTCAGAATAGATTTCCTTTGCACGTCAAATTTCCTCGTTTTAATAGACGTTTTCAGATGCTTCTACTTCCCTGATAATTTTTAAAAATATTACATGTTACAATATTACATGTATTTAAAAAGTAAAAGACTTTTACTTCGTAATTTTTTCAATTTATTTAACATATATGTATGTATGTATGTATGTATGTATGTATGTATATGTTTTTTAAAAAACGGTATGTTGTTAAAGAGTATTGTAAAGCCAAAAGTTTATTTCAAAATACATGCACAAAGAACTTGGAGGCTTTGTTACACTTTTTTTTTTTTTCTTCGTAAAGTGCTTTTCCACTGCTTCAATTTTTTAATGTAAAATATCAAAATTATATATAACTCTTTAAAAATAATACAAATATGAGTCGATGTTTTGCAGCATAAAATATAATTGGTTTTTAATAGCACAATACTTAAAAAGACAAACAAAGCAAGCAAGCATGTATATAAAATATGACAATAAAAAAATATTAATTATTATTCATTTATGCCAATACTATTTTTAATTTCAACTTTGTAATCATACCAAATATATATATATATATATATATATAAAATGAGGTTCTCTTTTTAAAAGAACTATAAATAATGTTGGATTAAAAAATCCAAGGCTTGTGCAGAGATGTGTAATGCTAATATATCAATGACATGTTGAAATACATCTGTACATATTGTACATGTATGAACATTTTACATCACTAATGCAACAACAAGAACACATTATATATATAGTTCATGCATATCCATTCCAAATACAACTAAATTTATTTACTGCATGCAGCTTAACATCATTTCAACCAGCCCCCGACCTATTTCCGATTATGGCTCAACATCATTTTAACCAACCCTTGACTTAATATGGACCAACAAATATTAGACTTGGTCGACAATAGGTTGCCAGACTGAGGGAAAACCTCACCCTATCGGTTGGAAATGGAGGTAGTTGACAATGGGTCGGCTACCTCATTGTTATAATCTTATGATAAAATCTTACTTGTGCATAATTATATTTAATTAAATGTAAAGTTTGGCTGATTACCACGTCCCACGTCACCACACCAGCTGCCACATCCGAGTGAAGCGGTGATGACGCACGCAAACCGACCGATTGCCGACCTAGCGGGACCTATAACCGCGGCACCAAACAGTCCACGTCACCACATAGTCTGCCACGTCGGATCACAAAAAGCGGGACACAAAGCGAAGACTTCGACAGCGTTGCGGCGGCATTGACTCCATCAAAGCCATCGCTGATTGCTGCAGTGGTACTTGGATTTCCATGCAATCACGAGGGTTTCCTGGCCACCATTATGAATCCCACTTCCACCCTTTTATGATTTGTTCATGTGTGTCATTAGAGGAGTTGCAGACTGAGTTGCTGGTGGCGTTGTCGGAGCTTAGATGAATCATTGGACTGAGAGCTTGATGCTAAGGCCTGCAAGCTTCGAAGGAAGTTTAGAGCTCTGAAGCTGGGTCATCCATCGAAGGAGTTTTTGATGAGACAGACAGTGTAGGAAGGAAAACATTGCTTGCGTTTTGCAGGAGTTTTGGGTCTAATCTCGAGACAGCCATGGGTCGACAGCCACATCCATGTTGCGATGCCTCTTCGAGTAATATATTTGGGGAGTTGGAGCCGGAAAAGTTTTACACCAAGCATGAGGTGTCTTATTTCGAAGACATGCTATTGAATTCGCGGGGTTTGAGGCAATGTTGGCGATCGTGGGTGCCGGTGGACAGAGAAGTTCGGGGCGTGGTGTGTGTGTGTCATGGCTATGGCGCTGACGCGGGATGGTTAGTGCAGCTCACGTGCATCGCCATTGCGAAGGAGGGTTATGCAGTGTATGCTATTGACCATCAAGGTCATGGTAAATCCGAAGGTCTCAAGGGGCATGTTCCTGATATCAAGGTCGTCGTCGACGACTGCATTGCCTTCTTTGATTCCAAGGTCTGACATACTTGTCACAGTCTTTGGGTTTCTCTCGATTATGACAGTTGTCCTTGATGTTGAGTCAAGGAACGATGTTTCTGACATCGAGGGTTTATTTCGATCACTTCGAAGAAATTCATGATTCATTTTCCAGGACGACTTCTGGCGGTGGAAACATCAGAACTCCATTATCATCTTTTGAAGCATTCTTTAAGCATTATAACGTGTTATTCATGTTTTTATATTTGGTGGTGTCTAGCGGGGATCCCACAAGGGTATGTCCTTTTTCTTGTATGGCGAGTCCATGGGTGGTGCCATCGCTTTGCTCATTCATCTTCGGCAACCGGAGCTTTGGCAAGGAGTCGTTCTCAATGGCGCCATGTGCGGGATTGGCAAATTTAAGCCCCCTTGGCCAGCTGAACATCTGCTTGGCTTTATCTCGGGTACTTTACATCTTTTTGAGTTCTTTCTCTGTGGTCTTCTGATGGAATTAGCGTCCAAAGAAGCGTTTGTTTATACTGTATTTTGTATTGGATATAGAGTCATGCATGAGAGCTAAAAATATATTTGCTCGCTTTCATATGATGTTAGGTATTATTCCCACGTGGCCAATCGTTCCTACGAAGGATATACCTACTGTATCTTTCAAGGAGCCTTGGAAGCGCGAACTTGCTCGTAATAATCCTAACAGGTACGTAGTCTCTGTAATTCACAGTGTTTGTTGGACTCAAGTTATTGCTCCCCATGTATACACATTGTTCTTTTCATCTGGTTCAAACCGTGAGCAGGATATTGTTAACTTGTATTAAATACTATTTTCTAGGAATCAAAAACCCTCTAACAATTACGTTTTACAAGTTTCGATTTAGACAGGTTGATAAAAAATTGTGCCCGAACGGAGTTATCGATGTTAATCAGGCTGAACTTGGGCGTTCTGATATTCTGTTGAGATAGAATTTTGTTATTTTGCAAATACTTTGCAAACTAGAACTATTGTGTCTTTGGAGAACCCCTCGCTGGTCCCGCAAACGCCTCGTGTGAGAGCATTCTAACTTCACAAGTCTAATTTCAGTTAGCAGTGAAAGTCTTGGCTGCTCCTGCTAGAAATTCGGATATGCAAATTAAATACGAAGCATAATGTGCAGCTCACGCACTCAGTATTTAGGTATGCAAGTTGGGTGACATGGAGACAAACGTTTGGCGTGATTTTTGTCTGGCGTGATTTTTGTTTGGTAGAAATTTTGAGTGCCATTCAGGGGACATAACATCTGCAGAACTTCAGCTTAGGGCACAATTGTCCTTTTCGCTTACATGTCTGAGTCTTACAGAGACTGATGCTTGTGCCAGTCTTCTTTTGCTCGTGCGCAGTTTCTTCCTTCTTTTCCTTTTATTATTTCCCCGTCCGCGATTCAGCATAATTTGCCCCCATGTAAGTTGGTTCTTTAAAGAGAAATACGGTCTGCACTTCTGACAAGCCTAGAAAAGCATTGAATGGTTGTACTCAGAATTGGTACATTTCAACAGACTTTAGCCGTGCGATCCTAAAACCTTTCTAATGGGTATTACCTGAACATCCTCTCATGAAGTCGACATGTATCTCCACAACCTGCACTCTTCAAGTGATACAGTTTGATGTTGAAGATCCTTCACTTAATCACGTTACTGCTTTCCTCTTAGGTACTCTGGAAGGCCTCGGGCCGCCACAGCTCAGGAATTTCTGCGAGTTGTGAAGGAAATCGAGGGTCGGGCATCAGAGGTCACAGCCCCGTTGCTTATGTTACATGGAGGCCTTGACGTGGTGTGTGATCCGGACGGTGTCAAAATGCTGCATCAAAATGTAAGTTGCGCAGACAAAGCTTTGCATGTCTACCCAGATATGTGGCACCAGCTAGTGGGAGAACCCTCTGAAGGACTTGAGCAAGTGTTCGGTGACATGTTTTCTTGGCTGGAAGCACATCTTCCTCCACAAGTTAGCACTTGAACATCCTGATATCCTCATTGAAGCGTTTTGAATGCTGTAGTTATCGTTACTCTGCCATGGCATTTGCCCTGTGTTAAATGGAATCCTCACCTGGATTTAATTTCGAAAACAGATTGGTCACATGGATTGGCTTCTTGCACCCCAGCTGGGCTTTTTATGTACCGTTGTAGAATCTTACAATTTGGTGATCTAAGTAACTTCTCCACTGTATCACATGAATTGCAGTGTTTCTGATAATACTTACCAACATTAGGTGTGTATATATACATAAATACATCCACACATGTTTGCACACACTTAAACAGCTCAATGTAACGTAGAATGTTTTGACAATCAGAGTATATTTTGCTTCATACACTCTCGTTTGTTTGCTATATAACCAAACGATATCATGATAAGTGGAAAAAAGTGTGGCCCAATTACTTGGTTTAGAGGAGGAAAATGATCATAATTTTAGGAGAATATTAGTTGAGGACATAGAGAGTTAGTTAAAAAGTCATGGATTTTAAATAAAGTTGTCCTTTAACGTTGTGTGTGTGTTTTTTTTAACTTTTTAACTTTTTAACATTTTGTTATGAACAATTTAAATACTGAAGTACACAAAGTAAGTGTATTTAGTCATTAAGTTGAATGATCTTCAATTAATAGGTAAATAAAAGTTCTATTTATTATGGAGTGTCAACACCATCTCCATTCTTCTTGTTTCTATTGGTCAATGTCACTTTCTTTAAACAATGTTTTGCTATGCATCTTCTTGCTTTAATGTCGCTTACTTACAAATGTGGAAGGGAACTGGCACTAAACAAACATATTGATATTCTACATTTGTGGTTGTCCAAGTTGAAGAAGACATAATGCAAAGAGAAGAATTTTTACTTTAGCAGACTTATAAATTTCACAAATTTTTGAATTTGATTTAATATTTTTTTGTTTTTCTTCTAATCTAATTCAATAACATTTTGAAATATAGTAATAAAATATTTTCTCATTCTTTATTTGTAATTATCATTATGTTTTTTAAGAATTTAAAAAATCAAAAATATATATTATTAAATATATATATATATATATATTTTAAATATTCATTCTAATAAAAAAATTGGAGAAAAAAATATTTATGAATGTTAAAAAAGACATCAAAGTTCTTAATGAATAAATAAATATTAATATAAATAAATTCTATTAACATTAAATGTTTGAACAAATCTCTTGTTTGTTACTGTAAATGATGCAAAAAGTGTATACATGTTTTTTCTTTTTAATAAAATTCAATTATAACCAATTAAAATAAATTTAATGAAGGTTTTGTTACTAGTTTCATCTTTAGCAGTTATTTTTTAAAAAAATAGTATAAGACAAGCGGATTCTAACCACTAAGATTACTTTGTGACCCAAGCCATCGTGCAGCTGAGACGTAGACCCGCCGGGTATCAATCAGTCACCCATACCCAACAATAGGAACGTGTCACCACAATCACAAGTGGCAAGCAACCTGCAAACGGGCTCCCATGCCCGCAATCGCGGCGAACGGAGACAGTGCGATAGGGCGGGAGGAACGCTGTTGGGATCGAAGAGAACGCGTGCCCACGCGCCACACCTTGAGAACAAGCGGAATGGGGGGAGAAGAAGTGAAGAGGAAAGAGACAGCAGCCGTCTCCAAACAAACACCGAAGCTTGGAAACACACACACAAATAAACGCACAATTCGGCGACTGGAAGGTGAAGAGAGAATCTTCTTCTTCGACAATTCGGCGCCTAACCTGCCGAATTTCGTCGTCGAACTCTGTCGGGCTCAACACAACACTCCTCACACGCTTTTCTCTTGCAAGCCGAATCTTTCCACCGCCTGGCACAGAATCTGCGCCCAGGGCTGTATTGCTGCCGACGTTGGAGCCTTCACTTGGACGTAACCCCGTCTGGAGTGTTGGCTTGGACGCAGCCCCAGCCGGTGCGGTAGGACGGTGGGAGAGAATTCCCGTCCTGATTTGTCCCCGGCTGGAGGACGAGGCGTTCCGCGGCTTCGCGCGGCGTCCGTGGGATTGTCCTGTGCGGGTGGGAGCGGAAAATCTGAGGCTGCAGGTAGTGGGTGCCTGACACACTGACGCCGCACATGCCCAATCCTCGTCCCCTGGTGGAAGTATAATACCGGTGCACTCTGGCGGGTCCGGCGCAGTTGCAGCTCTGATCTTTGGTTCCATTACTACCCTCGGCATCTGCCACCCAGCGGTGGCATTTCATTGACTCTCCCTGTCTCTGTGTCTCTCCTCTCTTATCCTCTCCTTTCCCTGCTTCGGCATTCGGTTTCAGAAGTGAGAGCCTTCAAGGCTGCGCAGCTTTCAGAACGGGTTTCAAAGCTTGATGCTCAGTGCCTTTGATCTCCATTCTCAGGGCTGAATCCCACGAACGAAACCCTAAACCATGAACCCTAATCTGGGCCTTTTTACTCCACCTGCAGCCAAGTGCAAAATTCGATTTTGAACCCCACTCATCTCAAACCTTGGATGTACTTAAATTTATTATAGGATCGCTTACATAATTGTTTATCTATTTATTATTATTATTATTATTATTATCGCAATGAGAATAATAATTCCATCCATGCTGCAAGCACTATGATTTGTCTGATTCTGTCACATGGTGTGAATGGTGAGGAAACTCTTCAAAAGTGGCTCTAGGTAGGGAGCTAAAAGCAGGCTTTTCCCAGCTTTGGCAATAGCTAATGGCTCTTTTTCCTCACATTATGAGGCTCCAAAAACTGGGTGCAGCAGGCTTGGAGACAAAAACGAAATAAGAGAGGGTGCACTAGCAGTCTCCCTCTGGATGTTCTTTAAACTCTTTTTATATCATTGTTTTGTTCATAGAAACTTTATATTGTGTTTCATCATAGGAACTGAAGAATGGCAGCCTGACATGATACTGACATGCGTAGAGAGGAAAAGAGAAAGCTGCATTCCAAATACTCCAGATGTAAATCAATGTCTCATATTAAAAACATATAGAAAAAACATGAACGAGAAAAGAAGACCAAATACATCCAAAGAATGGAGCTCAATCTGCTGTACTTTCGTGGAAGGCATGGCAGAATTTTCACAATTGGATCAGCTATTGGGACAACCACAAAAATTATCACAATTTTCAAAATTAAAACAGGCTAATAAATATAAGCCTGGCATGGTTGATTTGGGTTCAAGCATTACGGTCAAACGATGCTAGATTCACACCTACTTTTAAAAAAAATTAATTGTTTGTTTTCTTTAGACTTTATAAATTGTAATAGTTACTGTTTATATTGGGAAAGCTTGAGCAAAACTACAACTAACGAAAAAGTTAGATTGTTACAACAACAATGTATTTGAATTATTGATTGAGATGAAATGTTGACATGTAATATTGGTTATGAGGTCGCTTTTCAAAATGATAGGTACCTTTCTGTACAGTCTATACTTATTTGTGTACGAATAAAAGTAGAATAAAAGTAAAAATTACTTCAAAATCGCAATCATAAAAGTAAAAAAGAGAAAAGGTAAAGTAGTTTCTCAAAACGTATTATATGATAATTGAATTATAATTAATTAAATTGTGGCCCCAATTTCAGTAATATAAGCATTTTCTCTACGAATATTGTTTTAACTCAAGCTACACTTCCTCCATGTTTGGCTTCTAATTGTAGACCAAACTGTATAAATGTTGATTAGCCAACTGTAATGCAAATGAATACCTTGCAGTGTATACAAATACAAATATATATACATGTACATTAATACAATACCCAATGTCGTCCAGAGACGTGCACACTTGACAGAGGTCCACACGAAGTCAGCTCGGAACAAGGGGCCTGGAAAGAGCCTTGTTCATACGAGGGTAAGATTAGAGTGGTCCAGCTGGGCAAACGCCAGCTCATCCAATTTAATCTGAAGAGGGTCCAGCGTGTCACACAGCGACGTGGCTGCGGGACAGAGTAACAACCTTCTTGCCAGGTGTATGCACAATTGTCCAACTCAGTTGCCATCTCATGCTGACGCACCACAGACCTGCCAGGTGGACTACGGCAGGTCGCTGCGAGCAGCCCTCCACAGAAAAATGGCCATCTCTCTTTTCGTAAAAAAAGGTGACGAAGTGTCGTTCCTCAAAATTAGGGGAAGAGCCAAAAGATAATGTAGTTAATTTAAGAGTACCCAGGTACGACACTTTCTACCTTCAAACGCCACCACTCATTTTCCCTACGTGTCCTTATATCTGGCAAATAAGTACCCATTAATCCATTTTTTATATTTAATTAATCTTCATGCAATAAGTAGCCTTTTTTCTATCGAAGTAACAGTGGTTCTCAGAACCCATTACTTGTAAGCAGAGTGGGCTTTATTACTAGTTTTGTTGTCCACATAAATTGTCCGCAGAGTACCACACAAACCTCAAACTTTTTGTCAGTACGAATTCACGGTGTACTGGGTATAAAGGGTCATGAATACTAATTCACTTGTTTTTTCTTGCTAACTGAAAAAAGAAAAATACATCATTCTTTTTTAGAATCCTAGGGAACAATTTGGAACACGACACTGAGAATGACAGAGATATTGTCCTTAAAAATGGCCCAAATTCCGATGGATTCATCAGCCTTTCGGTAACAAAAGCTGGGTTTAATTCAGTTCCCCGTTGAGGAAAGGAAACGAATGGGGAACGTCGGCTGTTCCCATGGCACGGTGAAGGAGTAAAAGCCCTCTTAATGCCGTGGGACAGGCTATGATCCCGTTCGCATCAATGTTATGATATCCAAATCCCAGGTCAGTTAAGTTCCCCATTAAGGACCCAGTTCTCATGAGGCCATGGTTCTCCGGCGTTCCCCACGAGTGGGCCCGGACCAATCACACTTCCACAGCATGTGCATCAGGGGCATTAAATGGCATTTGATGAGAAGGGTACGGTTCCACCCAGAATTTGCTTCCTTTCTGGACTAAAGCTTTAGTTGGACTTTTGCTTTTTCGTACCCATCGTTTTGTTTCCTTTTGCCCTTGCTGCTCCATCTGGCAGCATCATAAGGAGGCATTATTTGTTTATTTATTAGTTTTCATTGATTTGCGTGTTTTGATCTATTTATATCGTTGGTGAGGGATTTTCCAAAGGATTGGTCATCGTTTCCATTTCTAATTGACTTTGTAATAAATGTTTCTGGATGTGACTTTGCTTAAATCCCACGTTCTTCTCCATAATTTTGAACGATGAGTTTGCTAATTTTTGTGCTATTACTGTTGGAGGAGTGTTTCATTTATTCAAACAAATTCCTTGAAACCAGTAAAGTTCAAACAAGAATGAATAAGCTTGTGTGAGGAATTAAATAAACCATTGCTTAGACATTGTTGTAAGATAGTGCAACAGTGAGAGAAGAATTGATGGGTTCATTTCTGGTATAGTGTTTTAAAAGAGTGAATTAAATGTTTGTATGGTACACAAGGAGAAGATAGGACCTCCTAAATTTGACCTTAGTATCCGTTTGTGGAAGAACATTCCATCTGATCACAATCCAATGTTCAAAACTCAAGGATGATCATATTGAGAAGACCTCTCTCAACATGTAGCATTTGCAGTTGCCACCCTCGGTTCTACTATTGCCTGCATTGACACTCTATCTGTGTTGCAACGTGAATTCCAATAATAATTCTGATTCTCATGTATCATATTTCCCTCTTAATATTCTTTCGAATTTTTTCTTTTCCATAAACTTTCGGTAGTAGAACAGCTCAAGATTCAATCTTATTGCAGCAACTAAAGTGATTGTGTGGTAAGACATACAATATCAAAGAGCTCAATCACAGCTGTTACTTGAAAGGATTAGTTTTAGCTTGAAGGTTTAGGATATAGCAATGTGGGGATTTGAAGATAAATTTGCCAAAAATAGATAGTGGAAACAGAGGTGAAAGTTGAAGTGGTGTTCTTCATGAGTTTGAGCTGTTTGTATCTTGGAGGGTGTATTTCTTCCAATTATTTCTTCATGCGAGTCTTCTTAAATGGGTGGCCATTGAAGCATGATAGAATTTAGTTTTGGTGTTCTAACAACAGCTTCTCACATGCTTTGACAGTATTAGGGTTTATGCTAGGAAAAGAGAACTGGGCCACCATTGCTTTATTGTGGTCTTTGTTGCCAGCCAACTTATGGATACTGTATATGAAAAATGTGCCAACTTGGTGAGAATGTTAAATCTTAGAACATGCTGTTGAGAGCCATCAATAGAGTGTTAATTTTGGACTGGGACATTCTGTGCAAGAATACAAGAGGAGTGTTTCTTGGTTAAACTTTAGAAGTAGTTCTTTAACCAAAATTTAAAGAACTACTTACTACAGGATCTAAAAGTATTGTAAGGTTCAGACTTAAATGTGAGCTTTAAAAACATGACAATTAATTTTAAAGATGTACTCAATAAAACTAAAATAGACACATATGAATATTTAATAAAAATACGTGGTTATATTTTAGTGTGTTTCTATTAATTTTTATTCAAAGATATTCTATTGCTAAAGTACACGTGGCTCCAATCAACTGAGTAAAGATAAATATATGAACATTTTAAAGCTTATTAATAAAATACATAGTTGTAATTCTTAAAAAAATATTATATGTATTTACATTTTAGGTCTATTTAAAGTTTATCAAAGCACTAATTTTTCTCTGATATATATATATATACATAGTATCAAACTTTAAAAAAAATCAAATATGAGTATATGCAATTTGATCATATCTTTGAATTTTCTTTTCTCAAATAAGGTTTTATTAAAATACCAGTTAAAAAAATTACAATGCTCTATTTTTAAATACATTTACTGTGAACTTGTAAAATATTGCATATTTTACATTATTAATAAATCATTTTTTTATTCACTTTCTACATTTTTATTAACATTTAATCAACTAAGATATTTATGTGGAGTTATATATTTATATACATTTATATATGTATACGTATATATATTGTATCATATATCTCCCTCTGTCTTTTCATGCTTTTCATAAATTTAATAAATTAGAACTAATGAAATTGATTTTTTCCCCGAATTTGCTTATAGATTTGTGGCAGTTAATAGCAAAGTTAAGCCATTATTTTATTTATCATCTATAATGATATGTCAGAATACATATGTTTTTTTTGGAATAACTTTCAAAAAAATAGTATTATATAGTATTTAAACAGAATATACAAAACATATTTCTATTTTTAGATATTTACAAGACTCATAAACATGATTAGATAAGTTTTTTGTAGTATAATTTTAAACTTTGGTACACGTGAAAAGTTTAATAATACAAGTGTGATATATATATATATATATATATATATATAAGTTGTAGATTCTAAATATATTTATACAAAACACAAAACAAAGCTTAGACATGGAGTAAGATATGATTCTCTACTTATGTGATTTTAACAACCAAGTTGCTTACATATAAAGGTTGTTGCATAGATACATACAGATTGACAATAATTTTGTAAGACTATAATATGATAATACAACTCTTTTGTACTAGTTAATTTTTATTTGTCATCTAAGGTGGCCGTGTGTCTTGATTACTTATAGATTGACCACCTGTTTTACAACTTTGGTGTTCTGTATTGGTGCTATTAAGCTATCTTTCTTATCATTTTTTCTTGGTATTCATTCCACCACATTTTATAACACATGTAAAAGAATGTAAACACATGTATAAATACACAATCCTTAAATACTTTTCTATCAATAACCATCTTACATCATAGATCACTTTTCGACACATGTTGTAACACACTAGTATAGAGAGCCGATGTTAATTTTTCTACAAACATAAACAACAAACAGTTGCAAAACATAACAACACAAAGTGTTCATTTCAAACACCATTTCATTGTATTAATATGAATATGCATGATCAATGTTTGCGTGAACAGAAACAACCATTGTGTAGACATTACCAAGTACACAAATAAGTGGGTTCACAAGATGCCAAAGAATTCAAGTGATTCCACAGCAGCTCCTCGACGCTGGTGCCAAACCGAAGGCGAACTTTTCTGCAGCCTTGCCGAAGGGACAAAACACATTGTGAATCACTAACGAGCATGTAGGTTCCGATCGGATAACCCTTCCTTGCTAGATGCATAGCTTATCGCAAGCCATCACAAAAATGACGGTAACCAGTCACAAAACCACTGGAAACTTACGCTACTTTTCTAAGATCGCTACAATTTCGCTGCAGCTTGTGTGTAACATTTTTTGACACCATGAGTTTCACTGTTGATTGGCAACGTTGACACCAGTATTCCTGCAGCGGCACTCTAGACTTTGGTGTTGTGAATCGATGAGCTGATCGCTGCGATTGGGTCCAAGTTACAGTATCAGTGCTTATCTTTCTCGGCGTGTCGCTGTGGTTTGTCCGGAGTTTACTGGATGTGAACATGGCCTCCTTCTGGTCTGGTACTGGAACTTGGATATCGCCATAAAACTGTAGCACTGGTTTCGTGTGCCGTGACTGGTTTCGTCCGTGTTTCAAGCTGTCCCGTTCACATGTCGGTATTCACCATCCATCCTGTCGTGTCAGTCATGGAAGGCGAGTCTGCTACTCTTGGCGCTCTGGATCCTTGACTTCTACAATGACCATTCAGTGACCTCAGGTTGGACCTGCGGATGCTGGACCTGCTGATGCATTAAGCGGCTACAATGTTTGGTGTACATTCTGTTTACGTTGCACATCAAATCGATCTCTGTTCACGGATCATTAATTTTGGTGGCTGAACACAGTAGAGTTTCCCACTCTCAGAGTATGTGAGAAAATCGCATGACGATTGCAAAATACGCCCGATTGCTTGTCCTCTACACCTCGCATTCCTAAGCCTTCGTTCTACTCACCCGTACCGCAGCTGCTCGCACTCGCCTTCACGGAAAAATTCCAGCGTTATAATCTGTTCTCTGTCAGAGAGGATCAAAACAATCGGCGTTGCAACCCGCCGATTTGCATGTGTGCGTAAAACTACCAACAGCAGAAATTTTGACGTTGCTCACTAACAGTCACTCATATCTTTGCTCATGGCTGCAATCAACAAGTTACTTCTAGAAGAGCACATCGATCAACGCACCTCTTAACGCGTTGTGTGAACTTGCAGATGCTCACAGAGCGGCCATTCCTTCTGAGATGGCTTCTGTCAACTTGCTTCTAGTCATCGGAGCCATGCCTGCACATCTGGTGTAGTTTCAAGCAGGAGAGAGAGAGAGAGAGAGTCCGAAAGCTCTGACATGAATTGCAAAAATGATAATTCTATTTTAAAAAAGGGACAAGTTAATCATGCAAAGACACCCCTAAATACTACAACGCGATAGTGACCTGAAGCAGGCGAACTGGCAGTTCCCGTATTAATGAACTACAAGACAATGGACTTGAAAGTCCTTTTTCTGGCAAATCGCTTATACTTAAGCATGTTGGCTCCATTACCCTCGATTGTCCGCGTACGGAATGCACCTATTCCCGGTCGAACATGTTCGCCACTCGTAGAGCTTCAGCCTCTTCCTCGACCATGATGCCGCGAATTCGGAAGGCGATTCAATGCTGAAAACCAACTGTCGGAGTTCATTTTGGCCCTTTTCGCAGACGGCCACAAAGCAAAGGTCTCAGCTCTTATGGGGTAGACATATCCATATGAAATTAACAGATGCGTGCAGGGAAGGCTAGCAAGTTTCGCTAGAGAGACGAAGGGAGGCTAGGTGATTGCTACGATTTGGAGACAGAGGGTAATGCGGGCATGTGCTGTAGTGTGAGGAGATTCGAGGTTGGTAGTTCAGTTCTTTTCAGCAGTTCACGATCTTTATCGTTAGATACTGTGCAAGTTGTGGGAGACTGTTTTAGGAGCTGGTTGCGCACGTGAGACGTGTTTGGAAAGTAGTGGGAGTGTCTGTGAGCTTTGCGGGGGTCGCAGGGGAGGTTGTGTGCTTTTGCGGTAGACGGTTGAGGTTTTGTAGCAAGATTTTTGGGTGAGGAGGAGGGTGTTGGAAATAAGATAGCAGGGCTTTGGAGAAGGGTAGGGGCTGCGGAGTGCGAAGGTGAATGTGATGGTGTAATGTTGTGGGTAAGGAGATGAGATAGAGTGCGCGTTTTGATGACGGCAGAACGCAGGCAGCCGGAGTGTTTTGGAAGAAATCTTGCATGAAGAGGGTGTATGAGTGAAGAAGCAGCGTTTGGCTTCGATATTGGGGAGGTGGAATTGGAGAGAAGAGGTAGGTAGGACTGAAGAGCTGGTGGAAGAGTGGAGTGTGAACGCTGCTGTGTGCTGTTGGGACACTACGGCGCTGCAACGGTGTTGTCTTGTGAGTTTCAAGCTGATAGGCTGTTGGGATACGAGACATTGCAGCGTTGAGTTGGGTCTTGAATTAAATAATACGCGGCGTGATGGTCGTGGTTTAAGGTCCTGGCGTGCCTCATTACTTGTGAAAAAGTCTTTGGTACTGGCTCCTCAACGAGGTTGATAGGTCCGTGAAGCTTCACACACGTGCGGTACGTTGTTGGATGATGACCAGCGTCGGCACCATCTGTGCGTCTTCAAAGCACCGTTTCTCGTGAAGTTTTCTCAAGTGCTGTAATACCGTCGTTCTGAAGACTGGAGACAATCGAGTGCTGAATGGTTTGAAATTTGCAGCGTTGAACTGAAAAAGATATCTGATACGGAACACTCTTCTGCACTTGTAACGCAATTTTATGTCAGATATATTCCTCATAGCTCGATTGAGAATGTTGGAAGTTCCACGACTACACCATGGCAACGGCAACTATCTGCTGCGGGTGGCGAATACAAAACCTTGTAGCGCTCTTTTGCCAAGACTAATCTTCTTCGTAAACGTGTGAAGACCGTGAGAAGTTTTCTCGTGCGTTCTGGGTTTGCGTAAACAGCAGTGGCACATGTCACGGTGATGGAGCCTACCTTGACCGTAAATTAATTTGCTGGAAGTAAGAGCCGAGAGATGGAAGAGGCAGATCCATGCAGAGGAACCAGGTAGGGATGGAACAAAGAGGCCGAACCGAAGGCAAGGGAATCGAATCTGTTGGCAACAGCAAGAGACGCTTAGCAACTGGCCGGGAGCGCAGCACTCCTGTAGTCGGTCTCGCTGTATTGCGCGTGTTGAGGAATCTGTCTTGGTCTAGAGGGCTGCGAATACCACGTCGTCTGCTACCTCCAACTCACCCACATCGGAGTCCGGGGGCTACTTTGTACTATTCCGACCACGAATCTGTGAGGTGCTGCGCTGCTTTTTGTAGGTGTCTCGAGTTCCATCCTTCTACCTTAAGCTTGCCCTCTTCTGACCATTCATTTTCGGGACAGAATCAATTTATCTAGTTCTTCCTAATGCTTGCTTCGATGTGTGTTCCTGATCTTCTCTCCTTGTTTACGAAATCTGTTTATTTAATTATTTGGTTATGTTACGTTTTGTTTGTACTATCACGAAGCTTGAAATGATCACTTGGTTCCACAAGAGTCCTCTTGACATGCTATTACGTGTGTCTCCTGTTCCCCGTTCTTTCCAAATCTCTGTTTCTGATGCGTGAGGATATCGAAGTTTGCATTTGTCTTTTTCTGATAATAAACATGAAGTTGATGATTTGGTGCTGAGAGGATTATCTGACTCTGCTCGAACAGCTCACATTGTCGGCTGCATTTTGAACGCGCAATTTGGTGGCGACGGATTCACTGGATTTTTTTAGCTTCGCGTCTTTGCAGGGACCGAATGCTGAACCTTGATAACATCATAGTGGATCATTCTCTTATATTTTTGTCATCGTTGACGCAGATTTTGTGCCTAGGATGAAAGGATTGCGGGGATCGTCGTTAAACGGTTCAAGAAGAATACCGATGGATGCTGCGTCAGAAGACAAGTTTGAGGAACGCAGCCTAGATGGAACAAGTTCCACCCTTAGTATGGAAGGTCTCAGTATGGACCTTTTAGGCGACGGAGATGCGAGTTTTAGCCTGAATCACTGTGATGATGGCGCAAGCAGCTCAACGGGATCTTCACCATTGGGGTGGCCACTGGCTAGAATGGACAGGCAAAGTGCAGCTCCTTCGCCTTCATCATCGAACATGCCAAGTGGAAGGAAAGATTTCATGTTGGAGGAAAAGGAGGAGAGCAGAACTACAGAGCTCCTAGGTTTGTCTATGTCCTTTTTCTAAGCATTCGCAATTCCGTTACGAGCAGCAGAACATCTCAACTCAATTTAACTCAGCTTCACACCCTACAATCACCGCCATCTTTCTGGGCTCTTATCACATCATCTAAGTCTGCAACCAAGCGAGCTCTCAATCAATGGAATTTTTTGCCTTCCGTTTTTATGCCGGCAAGTGCCAGGATCATTTTTATCTAATTGCGTCTTGCTTCTACAGAGGTGGAAATGATGAAGGAGAAGTTTGCAAAGCTACTGCTTGGGGAGGATATGTCAGGTGGGGGCAAAGGTGTTTCCACAGCCTTAGCTATATCGAACTCAATCACGAATTTGTCAGGTGCCAATCAACGATCTTACCCTTTGCCGCTTTGCCAAAGAAATTCTTCTTCCACCTAATTTATCATGTTGCTGTAGTATTGATATTGCGATCATTAATCCAAACGGGGAGCTTCCCGTTTCGTTACCTAATGCCCTGATCTGTGGATACAGCGTCAGTGTTTGGAGAGTTGTGGAGGTTGGAACCATTGTCTATGAAACGGCGTAATATGTGGAGGCGAGAGATGAATTGGATACTTTCAGTCAGTGATCATATTGTTGAGCTAGTCCCGTCTTGGCAACGATATCCGGATGGAATCACAGTGGAGGTATGTTGTTCTCTTCAACCAGGTTTTCTGACACTCTTTACATTTAGAAGCTTGCAAAACTACTTAATACTGCGGTACCCATGTCTGTCATTTTACAATTCCCTGATAAGATGGACGCAAGGAATGTACTCCTTAAGGTGATTCCGGGTTCCGGAACATGTAAGAAAATAATTTCCAAATTTTAAGTACTGTGAAATGAGAATCTTGTGGAGAGTAGGCGTATTTAGGACCCTGAATCTACTATGTTAGGAAACATTGAAATATAGAGTCTGGAATCACTGCACTGCATTGTTCTTTCTCACTGGAGATCCGCAATTGAGTTTCGTTATTGGTCTAGAGGAATCCTAAAAGTTTCTGCATTTTTCAATCCAGGTAATGGTAACCAGGCCCCGATCAGATCTCAGCATCAACTTGCCAGCACTTAGAAAGTTGGACAATATGTTGCTCGTAAGTGTCCTCTTCCTACTTCCTCTCAATGGTTTCGTATGTGTTTACTAACGGAGGCTCTTCTGTGATTAATATATATATATGTATATATATGTTTAGTAGAAACAGGCTACAAGCTTTGGGTTAAATAAAGCTCTTTAGTATTGAGGCTAGAAATTATATTTTGGCAATTATACGGCTCCATTAATCACATTGACCTAGATGTGGCGGCTCGCTTTTTGACTTATTGATTTAGCCCATGAATCAATTCGTACGGGTGTTTTCTGCGTGGTTTCCCAGGAGTCGCTAGATAGTTACCATGAAACGGAATTCTGGTATGTTGAGCACGGAATTTCGGTCTCTGAGGACAGTAGAAGTGTGCGGCATTCTATGCAACGGCAAGAAGAAAAGTGGTGGCTGCCTACCCCGAATGTACCAGCTAATGGTCTTTCAGAGGCTTCTGAAAAGTTTTTACACCATCAAAGGGATGCCACAAGCCAAATTCTTAAAGCTGCTATGGCTATTAATGCTCAAGTGTTGATTGAGATGGAGGCGCCGGAGAGCTACTTCGAAACTCTTCCTAAGGTACTTCCTGAATCTCCTTTCTCCCGTTAACCAGAAACTAGCCAACCGTGTTCCCCCGGTTTGTACATGGTAATTCACCCCGAAGTTTTATAAGCCAGGTTGTACCACACCTTTCTGTACAATGTAAATGTGACGATAGCGCTACAATGAGGTAATTGGAGGTAGGTCAATGACCCAGGTGAAAGAATTGACGAGTTGCACTCTGATTACTTTTCAGAACGGAAGAGTCTGCCTGGGCGATGACCTGTACCGGGCCATAGCCTCCGACCACTTTTCTCCGGATCGGCTTGTATCAAAATTGGATATAGATGACGAACACAGTATTTTAGAGATGGCCAATCGGCTGGAAGCTGCAGTGGTTGGATGGCGGCGAAGAAGTCAGACGAAGGCAATGACACAGATTATGCCGTATGAGAACAAGCTCAATCGCAAAACCTCTTGGAGCAAAATGAAAGACTTCGTTGGCGATGCAGAAAGGAGAGCGGTTCTTGCAGAAAGAGCGGAGAGTGTACTCTTGTACCTGAAACAACGAGTTCCAGGGATGTCGCAGACTGCCTTGGATGCAAACAAGATACAGTTCAACAGGGTATGTTCACAACCACAGTTCTTATAAGAAACATCCTCACTTCGCCCCCTTGTTCATTCAAACAATAGAGGCCTCATTCACGCAACTTGGATTCGACGTGTGCACGCAGCACTTGGACCGTGTTATAACCGACCATATTGTTGCAAAAATGCAGGATGTCGGGCAGTCGATTCTGGAAAGCTACTCCCGTGTGCTGGAAAGTCTAGCACACAACATCATCGCACGCATCGACGACGTCCTGTATGCCAACGACCTAGTGAAGAGATCACTGGGACCGCAACCATCCATGGCGCGTGAGGATAGATCCCTCTCGCGGCGTCTCAGTTTCTCAGGGAGAAGAACGAGGCACAACGGGTCCACGCGGTTCACTGCCTTGAGCACCGCATATGCGACGCCTTCCATCTCGCCGAGCTGTTCCCCTACGATGAGTCCTCGCCCAACGACGCCGACCTCTCCCCTGGAGGGCGTCAAAGCGCCGATTCTAACGCCGGGACTGGGCAAAGCACTGTCAGATTACATGTGTAGACATATACCTGAAGGTGGATCGTTGCTGGAGCTTGAAGTGCCCCAGAAGTTTTCGTTAGATGGTGGTAGGCCATGGACATATGCCGGCCATCTCGAGAATTCGCACGCTCTCCATAGTCCCCCCGGGCGGGATTAGTTGTAGAAACACACCTTTTGTGGGTTCATTCTTCCTTGTACAGTATCCCATTCTTCACTGATTGAAACTGATCTTCTGCAAGCTCCGCAACGTTGTCCTTATGTCTCTTGATTTGGTTTTGTTTTTCTAGCTCGCCAGCGTTTGACGTTGTCAAGGTTGGACGATTGATCAGGTGCCGCACTCACCTTTCCCATGTACTTGCTCATTGTCTACCACGCGAATTGCCGCCGGCAATTTGCGGTGCGGTGCGGCTGTTCTCCATGGCACTGATGTGGCTTCCATTTTTATGCTCAGTACAGTTTATCATTGCAGCTATTACACTGGCTGTGACAGTAATTCATTAAAGTTTTTGACAGGTTCAAGAAATCAAAATTTAATGAAATACATATTTCTGGTAAGAACAAGGCTTGTACAAGATTTGAATGTTGATGTATTTTGCAGTCTATCAATTTTACAAGTATAAATATATCAAGATGGGGAGATAAACAAGACCTCCCGTTGGCCAAGGCACTAAAATATCACTAAAATTTATAACATCCCTCAAATGGCTTCAATGCCTTGTCAGTATTTCAAGCATGCATTCTTTTGATTGAAAGGCTTACTAAATACTTGTAAATGCCTTTTCATATTCAAAGATTTTTGAAGAAGACTCCAATTAGAATTGAGTCATGTCAATGACTGTCGGATCAAACAATTAATTTTTTAAAAAAAATTCTTAGAATTTATTTCGACGATGCACGCTGTTGCCATGAATCTGATGAATCACATTTCTACAGCAATAACCTGAGCACATCACGAAGAGCACCAGGGACACAATCTTTGTTAATCTTTCACAGCAGATTCATGCGCAACTACTTCCGGGTGTACACGTACTTTCAACGTCACTTCTCACTTTTGTTCAACTGTTGCAGCATCTCACACGCTCTGGGACTGGGCATGCAGATTGATTGTCATAGCTGACCATCATGTGCAACGCAGCATGAATTCTACTCTATTATGGAACATGCACAAAAATTGAGGGGTATTCCCTTAACTCTAGCATAGATAGTTGACCCAAGTGAAAATAATTAGTAGATTAGGTTGTGATTGTACCGATCCATACAACCACTGATGCAAAGTTTGAAATATCACCTGGAACTCATTGCAAGTCTCCGTGCAGAATCATGAAGTATCTGTGCACCAACAAACAAGAGCACGCTGAGCAGACCTTGGCTGCAATTACAGAGTACGATGTGGGGATTTATTAGCGATGGTATCAACGTACACATCATCTAGCTAGTAGCGTTGCATGTCTTCCCAGAACGTCTCACTAGAACTTAAATCAACACAACATTACCATTAGCTTTAAGGAAGACTCTGTGCTGCAGGAGGCCATGCAAGGGCTTCATCCAAATAGTTTTGCAACCTCCAAAAGTCTGCTAAGAAATACGTCATTAGATTCTTTCTTGACCTTCTATCACATGTTCGAGAGTTGTCTTATTCTGCGTAGAAGGAAACAACACCGCAACAGTTACCAATCGAATGTAAGCAATTGCATATACAGAATGAAATATATTTTTCTGGATGCAAAACTGCAAGGTTCAAATTCTCTTCAGCAGATGCTAGCACTATGTCACACTGCGAAAGGAAAAAAATCTAGTCAAAACCAGGTTGTAGAGAAAAGTGTAATGTACCAACTACTTGCAGCAGATATTTTAAGAGCATTAATGCTGTTTAGTGTGTGCAAGAGAGTCGATATTTGGTGTGATGGCTGAAGATGACGAATCGTAGATGGGCACCAAACAGTCGTCCGTCCAGGAATGCACCGTCAGCGTTCCCAGAACAGTCCATTCCATGAGGTGGCAAAGATTCTAGCTCTTGTTGTTGTCGCGTCGTCCTTCCTGTTGGGCTTCGCAAGACGCCGAAGTCTCGTACCCGTCGCGCAAGCACTTGGGTTGGTGTAAATTTTACGGTCAGTGCGAATGTCTGCTTGTGGGTTTCACAATTTTCCGACTCACCCGATCGTTGCACAGCGGGATAGGGGAAAGCATGGTTGCCGGAATATCAATCTTAAAGATTTTTTGAAGCAATCGTCTCTTACTGTTGGTAAGGTGAGTAGAATTTCTGATTGAGGGCGCAATTCTTGATGGGATAGTGCTAGGGTTTCAAAACTGACGTGGAAGATTTTTTTGCACCGAAGTTGCGCCTCGGAGCTGCTCATGGCTGGTTGAAGATCGTGGAGAAGGCGAGGGATACGGGTATGAAATTCGATGCTCGATCTCTGGCAATTTTGCGAATTGCGACTTAGTGTCGGATTCTGAGGGTAGCCATTGCTGGAAAGTTGGAAAGGTTTATCAATTTATCGAGTCTAGATAGGTTATTCTGTAGAAGAATCCTAGAGTAGTTGGAATCTTAGTGAATGATGCTGTTCGATTCAGATGAATGCAAATATTTTGCACCATATTTTGGATTCTTCTCAGGAAAGAATATTAGTCAGGCAGCTCTTGACTGCAATTCGATAATTAACATCCCAGGAAAATAAGTGCTTGCTTACCCTCCATTGAAATCAGTGCTGCTGAAACTCCTTGCGTGTCATGCCTCGTAGTCAGTGCCCTTCGTTAAATTTCGTTAGTGCAATTTTGGTTCGCAGAGAAGAGTGAGAGTCTAAATCGGAATGTGATCCTGATGGCGTCCAGCGAGGGCTCCAGGAAAGGCAGGCAAGTTTCAGGCTAATAATTTGTGTTGGCTGTTGTTGCGCTTTCTTCAGCTGTAGAATTGAGTTGTAGTTTGCACGTCTTGTAAATGTAGCAAATTCTCGCCTATATTTCTCCGTTTTTTTCACCTGCAATCCTTATATACCACATGTAAGCTTTGCAAGGGTCATGGCCATTATTTTTGTGCTTTTCAACGTGTATAAACAGAGCAATGGAGAGTGAGAATCATCGATATGTGCCCATTGATACGTCTCATCAGGGTCAATATGTCGATGGCAAAGATCCTTGCAGCAATGGGAGCCATGGTGATTGTGGTGGTGTGTTCAGATCTCACGGGTGCGCAACTCGTTCAAATGAAGCTCTATTGTTGGAGGATATCTTTCATCTTGAACGCATTGACCAAGTTTCAGTGACATTCTCAGATACTCATCTTGTGTGGCATTCTGTCGAGGATGATATTCAGAATCTGGTAATTATCGTAATACTGCATTATGTTTTAGTTAGGGGTATCAGTGGACTAGAGAGTTAAAATTGGTATGATGGTACTTCCACGTTTCTTCTTAAAAAATTCGGATTTCTCAGCGTTGGTATCAATCACATTGTTTTCTTACAAGCATCGTCTTCTGAAAAGGTTCGTGTCATATTGTAAAGTCGAGGCGCTACGTTTTCCTCTTGAGCAGGATGCTAGTTGCACTTATTGGGAATGTCTTTCATTTGAGAATCAATGTGAAAAACAAAACAAGTTCCAGTATGTTGAGCGTTGCATTTATTATATGATGGTGTTGGTGAATAGGATGCTCGTTCGCTCCTTTGCTGTGGAACCACACACAAGGATGTGGATGGGCACGTGCCGGTAGCAGAAATTTTTGCCGTGAAATCATCGGGTTTTGGTCCTGTCACTCAGGCCAAACCGCCTCTATGTGGAGATTCTCTCCCAACCAAGCAGGTATGTCAGTTTGCTTTCTAGGCATCAAATATATGAGTGATTTTACTTGAAGTTGCAAGCTCCTGTATAGCTGTCTCAGGTTAAGTCGAAGTGATGACAGTGTAGGACTAAAAAGTTGAGTTGTGATTACTAAGGCTATAACTTTTGAAATGACACTACCTTGTGTACCTTGTCCTCATACTGGGAAGGGTAGTTTCATAGAGTTGAGGTGCACACATTCCTGCGTTCCGACAGCAAGTGGATTCCAAAGGTTTATGTGTTCGGCCATACAAGTCCAGCTGTTGTTCAACAGTGGACTCAGAGAATCCAATCGCGACTACATGAAGATTCTCATAGGCCAAAAACTTTGCTGGTATGTTTCATTCATAAGTGGATTATACATGTAATATCTTGTGATGCCACAGGTCTTCATGTATTGGTTGGTTGACTTTGCCATGCTTAGCGTACCAGAGGATGTGTAGTATATTTTGTTACAGGTTGGGCGCAATAATTATATAACATGGGGGAATTAAAATTGGGTTTCATAACTCGCCATACACGTTTTTACGCAAGCATGTAATCAGATGCTCTGGATTCATGTTTAAGCGCAGGTATTTGTCAATCCGTATGGAGGAAAGAGATCTGGTATTCAAACCTGGGAACAAGTAGCACCATTTTTTGAGCTGGCAAAGATCAAAGTGACGGTAAAATTCAATTCATTTGTATTTCTTAGGTGATTTTTATTTTTGAATCTTTGTTATGTTCTCAGATGTTAAATGGTCATAGCTGAAGTTTTAAGTCGTCAGACAAGGTGGTTTTACTCGGCTCAATGCTTATGTTCCCCTCTTGGCCTTTCTTGTCACATCTTTTCCAACTGCAAAGGTGCGGATGCTGGATTTTGTGAGGTAACTGAACTTCTAAGTTCTTGAAAGAGTACTTTCTTGTTCGTGATTGTTGCAGGTGGTTGAGACTGAACGGGCAGGTCATGCGCGTGAATTAATGGAGCGTGCTACGAAAGATGAACTTGATGCTCTGGATGGTGTGATTGTTGTGGTTCGTTGTTTCTTACCTTGTTCATGATAGGACACAATTTTTTTGTGCGCGTAGTTATCCAGACGCCACAAACGCAGAGCGTACCAATACGTAGTTCAACTAGAGGATAATTGATTAGCTAGCGTGCATGTTGTAATTTATATTTTTATCTTTGCTCAACCACAATGAATGTTAGATGCGTTCTCTCACTTTTTGTTCTCTATGTGAAAAGTATTTTGAGTTTGTTGACTTTCGGAAGCCGTAACTTTCAAAGTTGATTCTAAGTATATATTATGTGATGTATAGGGTGGAGATGGTACCTTCAACGAAGTGGTTAATGGCCTAGTTATGCATCGCCACAAAGCACAGGCTGCTATCATGCCCGGTAGATTGAGTAGTTTTAGCAAAACGCGAACTCAACAAATAGATACTAAGGTTAATGCGATCTCGGATGAGCAAGGGGGATTGAAGCAGCTATTAATTGGGAATGTAAGCACGTCGCAAGAGAATTCTTCGGATGAACATCCTCTTCTCCAAAATAGAGCTCTTTCTTTACTTATAGAAGCTTCAATTGGCCAAGAAGGCAAGGTTGGCACGGGCACTGGAGGAAAGATTTGCTCGAGTGGGGTTGAGTCTGAGAGGATTGATACAGCTGTGAATGACTCAATTGTTCAAGTGAAAGATGAATTGCGAGGGCAAGCTGGTGGTGGTTTCTCAGGTAACACCTCTATCTTCTTCTGAGTCGTAGTGCAGGATGAATTAGGAATTTCGAACATTCTACAACAATGCTAGGAGATTCAAACATTGCTATCAAGAGGAAAGGGTCTTTTACGGTTTGTTCAGCCGATCTTACGAATTTGTTCTCTATCAGAAACTGTTTGTTAAGAATTTGAACCCGTCTTGCTTTTCCTTGAAAATGATATTCTTTGATTAGAGTGAAGAAGGTGCTTGAGTGCATGGACGTATGAATCGATCATTAGCTTTCATGGAATGAAAACTTGCAATTACTTTTATCCAGTATGAACTCGTTGAGCGACACATGAACACCTCCAGTTTCATGATCCAAATAAGGGTTTGTTGAGGTGTACAGAGTTGTTTCTAGATCTGGAGAGTATTTAGGAGGGTACGTTTGCATTTGATCTAAAAGAATTACCTAAATGGCCTCTTGAGTCTGTTTAGATGTTGAAGGACTTTCGTTACACGTGATTATTGTCATGTTGTGCATTTTGTTGACGAACTTCTGAGTTATAAACTTTGAAGGTGTATGCGATGCTTCTGAGTCTATTGGCACACCTGTGGACAATACAGAGTTGGAGAATCCCAGTACCACTCTATTAAATTCAAACCCCAATCTGCGGATTGGATTAATACCTGCTGGGTCAACAGATACAGTTGTGATCAGGTAATAGCTTTTCGGTCTTATTTGCTGTGCATCGTAAAATGCATATCAAGGCTTTCACCCTCTGTCATTTAAGCGCTTATCATGAGCTTTTAGTGGACTCTTTTCGCCGACTAACGTTCATCTACTATACCTGAATTTTGTTTGGTTGAAGATAATGTGGATGCTATGGCTGGGAACATGTTTTGAGTTTTGACAATGTTTAGCTCTTGGTTCTGGTATATTTCCTGAGCTTGTGCAAGCTTTATATATGCTTTTCCCGTGAAGTCCTTAATCTGATAATTCATGTCTATACCCTTCATTCTTCTCTTCAATTGCTGTCTAACATCGTATTGCATTGCTGGGAGCTTTAACTTCACGTTAACGAACGCCTCTGATTTCCTTATTTTGTTCCGTGTGTGCAGTACAACTGGGGCACGTGACTCTATAACATCAGCACTGCACGTAATTTTAGGAGATAGGATGCCTCTGGACTTGGTAAGAATAACGGGTTGGAAAAATCATTCGGAGGGCTCACTCAACGGGAAGCCAGAAGTCCGTTATGCAGCATCGTTTACTGGGTAGGGACATATCCTTGTTAGTTAGATACTGGTTATGCAAAATAATGGGAAGTATGCTGGCTTTTTCAGGACTTCATGACATAGTCTTTGGTAGGATTGGTGAACTTCAGCAAGCATCTACGGCTTATGTAACGGGGTGCATTGATGATCCTTTTAACAGGTATGGTTTTTATGGAGATGTAATGAGGGAGAGCGAAGAACTGCGGTGGATGGGTCCTGCTCGATATGATTTAGCAGGCTTTAAGGTCTTCATGAATCACAAGTAAGAGTTCTGTACGTCTCCGTTCTTGTGGTGTGTCAGCGAAGCTTTTCGTACTGCAGGGTATTTGTTTCAGTATTTCGGTTTTTTCTGTATCTTCATAGATAGGGCTTGTGGATCAAAAGGTTCTTACAGTATTGCTCATGTGACAGGAGTTATGAGGCCGAAGTGTCGTTCTTAGATGTCTCACAGAACCAGCCAGATCCTAAAACATCGATGCCACAAGGCCCTTGGATTAGAAACACATCCTCTCAGTCCAGGAATGATGCGCGCAGAAAGGTGCGTTTATGGTATTAAAGCTGTATAATGAAAACCACCTAAAAGAATCTGGTTTAGTGTGATTCTTGTGTGCGAGCCCTTTTGAGCGTTTTTCATTCTTGACTGGCTTCCATGATTATATTTTGTGCACATAGTTTTATACAGAAGCATTGCATATGTTAGTATCGTTCCAGTGTCATGCTTGATGCTCTATGAAATATGATTCTGGACACCAATGAATCATTTACTCTAAGACTGACTTGCTGATTGCAATGCAGGTTGTATGCCTCGCTAATTGTGCAATTTGCGCATCAGGGTTCGATTTTTCGCATGTAGTCAATAGTGAGAGTGATTCAGAGGGAGTTCCGCATGCCGAGGGAATGCAGGCACCGACATGGAAAACAGTCCGTTCAAAATTTCAGAGCGTAGGTGCTGCAGTCATGTCTTGTCGGAATGATAAAGCACCCGAAGGAGTGGCAGCCCATGCTCACTTGGCGGATGGTTTGCTTCACCTTATCCTCATTCGAGAGTGTTCGCGTCTTGGTTACCTCAGGTTTGTTTCATAAATTTCTAGACTTGCCATGGTTGAAAGCTTAGGAAACCAAACATTATGTTTAAAGATCGTTTCCGTTTCTGGTTCAGGAAAAGGTATCCCTCTTATTTTAAGTTTGATGATTCTTTCATGCTTACGGCTGGTTTATGTTCTGCAACTTATGACTTCGTGTAGGTGAGTGGTGAAGAAAGATGAGAGCATTACTAAGCTCATATTTTTCTTCCTATTCATCATTTCGAGACATAATCTTATCCAGTAAATTGAAGAATGTTTGTTTTAATACATTTGGATCTTCTGAACACAGGCAGCTGCTGCGCTTGACCAGACGTGGAGCAGATCCTTTCAAATTCCCATTTGTCGAGTATCACAAGGTATAAAGTTGGAAGTCTAACAAATAGTTCTATTATTGTATTTTGTGATTAGTCACATGGGACTTGCTTTCTCGTTTCACTGAACAGTATTTTCTTAGGTGGTTTGTCGGCATGGCCACATTATGACTGGGCCTTATGCCTGCTTTTGTTAATACTTTTCCTTGGTGCTGCAGACGCCGCTGTTCACGTTTTCATCTCGTGGGGACGAGGAAAGCGTGTGGAGTGTAGATGGTGAGCTACTCCAAGCTGTACAGCTTGAAGGACAAGTATTTCGCGGGCTCGTGAATCTGTTTGCAAGGGGTCCCGAGAGTGCTTAAGCATAACTGTATGTTCAGTAATGGTTTTCGCAAACAGAAGTTTGTCTACTTCATTCTAGGGATCAGATTTAAAGCAGCAGTAGTGTTTATATTGTAGAATGATGTGATATCACATTTTACTAGCGACATAAATGGCATTAATGCGTCCATAGGACAGCGGCGACAAACTATTGTTACAAAATTTCTAGTGAGGTCAGAAAACGTTCGCAGAGTGAAGAAGTGGATGGGGAATAATAAAACTCCAACCACTTGGTGCGGTTTTAAATGCAGCGTAATTGATGGGCAACGTATGAAGTCAATGAGCAGTAAATATATTACCTTACAGGTGAAAATTATCAGTTTGTCCATCTGTCGTGAAGATTAATTCGTGTAATGCTTGGTCATTGCAGTGATGGAAATTCTCTCCTGGTTACTGTCTTCTAATTTAAGGCATTTTCAAACATTTTCTTATGCAGTTTCTGATCCATGCTCTTCCATTTAATTTCGGAGTGTTCTACGGGATCTTGAAATGTTAAAACATTCGAACGGCTTAATCCTGAACCAGTTACTTCAATTGTTTTTAAAGCTGCTTTCAAAATCCAAGGACATCGTTTTTTTTTTTTGCAGCTGGACAAACTTTAAAAGCTGAAAGCACTGTGTTGACACAGTGGCTTCACCCCATGTATTGCACAGGATGTTGTTGTACATACACAGTTTTGTACCGCCTGTTCCGCTATGTACTTCTCACTCGAATGCCGCCCCATAATACACTTAGCCCAACTCTGGTGACAGAATGCTGTTCCAGCAAAGAATGAAAGGAAACCTGGAGCGGCAAATGTCATCATTTTGATATAAACTCTGTTATTGAAGTACTTGTACAATATAAAAAGTTGCTTTGTAGCATGCAATGCTAGCATTGAATTTATACATGATAATTCACATTCCTAAATTCAGTTTGTTAGTATTGATAGATTTTCCCATATCTCGTTGATGCGGATAATGATTCTGTAGTTATTCTAGGTCCTGCTTTTGGTATCTTTTACTTGCCAACTTCTTTTGTGATATAATACACGTCCGTTGAAGGAAGCCAAAATGATATGATTATTTAAACAACTAAAGCTTCTGTTTTCTCTTGTAGCGACATAATGTACTTCTGAGCGTATGTGAGATCAGGAAACACAGGCACGCCGGCCTCACTGGCACGCATTGCTTCGTTGGTTTGGAATCTATCCAGCAGCAATGCATGCATGCCAAGTCCTCTAGCAGGGACGTAATCCTTGCGGAGGCTGTCTCCAATGTGGAGAGCTTGCTCAGGAGCAATCCCCCCTGCTTTCTTCAGAGCTATCTCGAAAATCCTGGGGTCAGGTTTCTCGACACCGACGATGCCCGAAAACACTCCAAAATCCCATTCTGAACCCTGACAATGTTACATGGTTTCTAGTCAAACACGAATGAGGAGCACTTTGGCAGGCCACATTTTCCCGGAAACTCTTCAAACAGGAAGCTCACAACAAAATACAAAATAAAATGGACATTCTGGTAAACGACCACAATAAGAGTTAATGGTGGTGATCGCCCAGCTGCACTGACCTGATTGAGCCCTAAACATGGCAATATGACGTCACGATATCGATACTCAGCATTACTCACTACCCCGACGATAATTCCTTGCTTCCGCGCCCAACGCAAGAACGGTTGTGCGTCTGGGTAAATTATATAAGGGGCAGCTGACCCAAACATCGAGTATATCCGCTTGAACACCTTTCCGAAAGTTTCATCGTCATAGTTGTAGCCAGCCTGTTAAAATTCCCACATCATGCCCTCAAACCAAGCACAGAAACAATCTTCGGCAAACCAGGCACAGTAAGTACTTCACAATGGTTAAGGTTTAAAAAGGTATCTAAACCTTGGTCTGTCCTCCGAACTCAGATGTGCAAGATTTACAAAGAAATTTGGTATAGCTTCAATCTACATCAGACCGGACTAGCCAACACCAGAAGTGTGACACACCTCAATGAAAGAGTTTCGGACACAGACTCTCCACCAATCAATATTAGGCATCCTGGACGCCTGACCGAAGCAGGGATGCTTGGTAGCCATGTCCTTGTACGCGATCTTAAAACCCTGGTGCATGCGATCGTAGTCGGGACAAGGGAGGCCCACGGCTTTGGCAGCCATGCAGTAGTAATCTCCCAAAAGCCCCTTGTATGCTATCAAAGTTCCCGTCACGTCCACTGTGATGCATTTCAGCTTTCCTAGTGCAGCTGGAGAGGCTTTTTGCATCAACGCTTGTGCCGCCATTGCGATGATCCTCGTTCAGGGAGGTTTTCTGCACTCTTCTCACAAAGCTTCAGACAGTCGTTCGCAAAAGTGTATCCATACAAATAATATAAGACGACACAAGTGACGTGCTCCCAAAACATAAGTTATGCAAAAATTACAAGTTCAGAGTCAGCGACTGTGGTTCGTATCATTCAGCTCGTGGACAACGTGGGAATCACCTGACGTTTCACAAAACGAGAGAGCACCAATGGTTTCTCATAGAACAGCTACGTCACCTCGCAAACCGAGACCCTTCCCTACAATTAGGGCAATTGATCACCTTAGACTCTATCGTGCAGTCAACAACATCCAAAACAAGGTTGCAAGTCTTTCCTTCCTCGATGAAACCTACGAGAGTCTATCCGCAAAGCAACACAAAAAAAACATGTTGGTGTCTCTGACGATCAATGCTGTGCAGATAAACGATGGAGCTCAGAAGACGGACGAGAGAAGGTAAACAGATCCCACAAGCTCAGAGAAATCAGATACAACATTCCCTTCCATGACAAACTACGTAGACCATCTGACAACCTCCAACACTTTGCAGATTACTTCAAACACCCCACCTCGTCCAGCTCCTCCAAAACGCCCAATCCACTGTGATCGCTTAATATACAACCTCCGGCAAACACCCAGCAAATCATCCACACTCACTGACAGACGCAAGCAGTGGAGAAATCCTCCACTTCAGTCAAAGCACAACTATATCCTACCTCCGATCATTCAACGCAGAACTGGGAGCCGCAAACGCATCGGCATCTCCGGAATTGGAGGGACACGACCAAGCCACCTAACTTGGCAAAGACGAAACCCAGCGTGGCGATGATCACCGCAGCAGCGTGGCTGCATGAGGGGGGGGGGGGGGGTGGCGACAGCGGCAGATCGATGCATCGCCCACCGCTGCTGGGTTTCTATCATCAACAACAGTGCGAGTAAATGCTTGGATGGCAGGTTTCGGCTTCTCTAGTGGACCTTGCGTGCCCGCACGGACAACCAAATATCACTTCGGGACCCACGCCCACGGCGCCACTGCTTGCGTCCGCCACTCATGTGGCGATTCGCCGCGGCGGCGTGCCGCGACGCGGACGCGTTATTCGGCGTCACTGGTGAGCGCGTCAGACGGCGGCTATCGCTGCTCCCACGTCAGATGGCGGCTGTCGTTGCTCCTACGTCTAGCGGTAATGCTTGAACCCTAAACCCTGATTCAATCCATCTGTGTGGAGGTGGTGGTCACCCATTAGTTGTGGAAAGAGCATGGGTATCTATTCCAAGTATTATACCTTTTTCTTTCTCACATTTAAATCCATTCATATAATATATATATATATATATATATAGAAGAATGTTAAATAGATCCAAATATTTACCAAATTGACCTACCCATCATGAAGAATATGGCAATCATGACAAATGTGGTTGGTTTTCCTTGGTTTTGGATTTATTAGTGAAAAAATGAATGTAGAGGTCATTTCCTTTTCATGATGGTTAGGATAGGTGGATCAATTTGATAAAAACCTATATTTATTTAATATATTTTTATATATTTATATCTATATACATAAAAAATAATTGGCATTCCATTTTTTAAAAATATATTATATTAATTTTAATTATTTAATTTTAAAAAATATATATAATATAATCTATGATTAATTAAAATTTAATAATTTCAATTTTAAGATATATATATATATATATATATATATATATCTTTTTTTTTCTTTCTTTCTTTCTTCTTTTTTCTTTCTCTCTTTATATATATATATATATATATATATATACACACATTATGTGGTCAAAATTTCAAAAAATAATATTTTATTTTTTTATTTCATAATGAAATCATCTATAAAAAAAATATATTAAATGAAATTTTGGAAACATTGTCTTTTATTTGGAATAATATATTTGAATTTCTACATTCTATTATACTTTTTTATGATAAAAATGTTATGTTTATTTTGCTATTGCATGTATTAAACCAATTAATTAAAAAAATACTTATAAATTGATGCAATTGAAGTAGTATCATCGACACATATATTTATCTAGACAAGAAGTATTAGATAGAAGATTAATATAAGTAGATTTGATATTATTTTATGGCAAAGCTTCTTAGAAGCTTTATAGATGCATATTTGATTTTAGACGTGTTTGTAGTTGATTAGTAGGTTAGAAACTTGGCCAATAAATTAGCCAGGTGTTGCACATGTTAGTAGCTTTTTGTAAAAGCTAACTACGTGGTATACATATAAAAAACTTGTCTTATAAGTTAGATACATGTCTTGCAAGTTAGACATATGTCAGAAGTCTTGTAGGATGTCACCACATAGCTTCTAATTAGATAGTATATATGAAGATAAGAATGAAACCTTCTTTATTCTTATTAATATTTTTTAAATCTTTAGTCTTGTTTTAATACTTTTTAGTCTTTTTGTCTTTGGCAATAGCCATTCCATCAATATTATATTAATTTTTAGTGAATATCTATTTTTTTTGAATTACATAAGACTGTATTGAATTTTTGGTTCTTTAAGATTCATATTGTTGACAATTTGATAAGAGTGTTAACTCATTATTCTTTTCTTTGATTTAGAAGTGAGTGGACTACACCACTTCTATTGTTGTGTTTAAAGATTAAAAATTATCCACCTCTAATCTATGTGAGTGTAAATTTTACTTTTCAACTCTAATTACAAGATAGTCTCAATTAAGAGTTGCTTATAATTGATGGTGTGAAGTGAAGTATGCAATTGGCAAAAAAACAAAGAAGAACAACCACAATACAAGTGGAAGAAATGAAATTAAGTAATTACAACACCTAAAACTAAGTCATATTTTGTTCACTATATTTTTATCCAATAAAAAGTAAAAAGTAAAAAATAAAAGTATATTTTTAGATAGGTAATTTTATTATCTTTTCAATGAGGTAAGAAACATATAAATCCGAATTATTATGAGTAAGTTATGAAGTTTTCAAGATAGAAAGTTAATAATTAAAAGATGAATTGAAAATATTTTACCTCAAAGATAACTTATTTATAGATCAAGGATTCGAGCCTCACCACGGCTCACATATAGTGTATATGGCTCTTTAAGGCTATAAGGCCTTAGTCTTATTCTCTCAACTACCTTCAAGGTACAACAATCCATATGGGACTTGTCCACCCCCTATCACGGACATACGCATGTAAGCCAATAATTACATGTATAAATAGGTAGAAGTAAGTAAAAGTAGATAAAAATAAGTTAATTCTATAATATTTGCTATAAAAGCTTTCTAAAAGCTTCATAGATATTTCATTGACTTTATAGGTGTCTTTAATTGACTTTTTGGATTAGAAACATGGTCAATAAGTTGGCCATGTGCCACACATGTTGTTAGCTTGAAGACTAAGCTAACTATGTGGCCTACTCGTAGAAAAACTTGCCTTGTAAGTTAAGGCATGTGTCCTACAAAGTCAACACATATTAGAGGTCCTATAGAACATCGCCACGTTGTCGTGTTGTAACACGACTATATGGTGAAAATATAAATGAAAAAGATTTTATTAATATTTAGTCATCTTGGTTGATAAGAGCTCAAGACAATTTAGGAAGGCTTTATAAAAGCTTTTAAAGTATTTTCTTGTCTTGATAGCTAATAGATAAAATCTTGTCATTAAATTTTCTTTCTAGATTGTAGAAACTCTTTTACCACTTTAGAAAGGCCATACATTAGTAAAAATAAGGTAGATGAAATAAAAAAATGATATGGTAGATAATAAGGTGAAGTTAAGAATAGGGAAGTGTTGAAAAACCTCTAGGATAAGTAGGATTGATATCCGAGAGATGACCGTTTGTGGGTTGGGGTCAAAATCAGACCTCTAGTCACTAAAATGGCCGCTTAGGGTAAAGTAGGGAGGCATTCGGAGATCGGAATTTGAAGTCGGAGAGCCAGCTTCAAGCTCCTTCCAAAGATGGTTTTTGCAATATTTGGAGATCTACCAACTCAAATAAGGTGAATTTTGGCATGGTAAGTCGAGGACTTAAAGGCAAAGTTGTACACAAAGTTTGAATAAGAATTAACAGTTGGAGAAGGAGAAATTGTAATTCAAAGTTTGTCATCAACTTTCTAGGCAGCGGTCAAGGGACATCAGTGTGGATTTATGGCGTTTTCTTGCAATCTGTAAGTTAGATTGGATTGAAACTTATTGAGCACTTAAAAGACTTACAAAGACACTAATGGTAGAAGTTTTATAAGAATCAGATGATCAAATTGAGAATTACAGCTTTCCAAAGCTCGCTATCTAGGATTAAGGTTTAAAAATTAAAAAATTAAAAATTAAAAATTAAAAAAAATAATACTAATAATAAAATAAAATAAAATTAACAAAGTAAAAAAAGAATTTGTACTTATAATAGCTTGAAGTTATTAAAAATAGTATTTCTAAGCACTTTGTATTGGAATTAAGCTTTTATATTGAAATTTGAAATAGTTTGTATTTAGATGGTTGAAACCCACTAGACTACTTGGATACTTGTAAAACATTGTTTTATCTTCCATAGCCAAATGCCCAGTGTATTTTTAAGCAAGATAGCATATAATACGAAAGAAGTGGTGAACCCAACGTGAAGGCTTGAGGTGGGAGGTATTGTTAGAGACATAGTCCTTAGAACCTTCTAGAGACAAGTTTCTAGAACCTTCTAGAGACAAGCTTCTAGAACCTTCTAGAAGCAAGTCTCTGGAACCTTCTAGAAGCTTCTTAGTTGGTAGAAGTTGCTTGAGAAGCTTCCTAAATAGGAGTATATATTGAAATCGAGGCTGAAAAGTTCTTCAGTCTCGACAACACATCTCTTGGAGCTCTAACTCACCTCTCTGGTGTTGTTCTTGTATTCATCTGATTAATCTAGTTCTTGCCAATTCTTCTTGAACTTCTTGGTAGATATCAAGTCTGTATTCTGTGTCCGTGATAGTTTGTCGAGACTTCACTCACCTCAGATATCAGAGCTAGTTTCTTCTTTGTTAGAGTGCGGATTACCCCTCTGCTTGGAAGTGTACTAGCACTTTAGAGGTTGCGGATTACCCTCTTCTAAATTGATACTTCTTTTGTTACAATATTGGAGTCTTATTCTTCTTGGAGAGAGTGGATTACCCCTTTTCTTGAAACTCTTAAGGCATTTTAGAGGTTGCGGAGTACCCTCCTCTAAACCAATATTGTCTTCTTGTAGAGTCATTTCTGTCCTTCTCTTAGAATGGTCAGGGGCCAAGACATTAGTATGACGGAAAGTTCAGAGTCCAAGTTAGATGCTATCATGAATGCCCTCGCTACATTATCACAAAGAACTGCAGAGATTGAAGGAGTCGTGGCAAGGCTTCATAATGATGGAGCATCTGGGATGGCACAATCTAGGTTGCACCAGCCTCAAACTTCTACACTTGGAGAAGCAACTTTACCTGAGGTTCGACAAGCACCGCTGGTTCTACAACATAAGGAACCCCGAGTTAGCCTTCCGGACAAGTTCGATGGTACACGTTCCAAGTTTCGAGGATTCATCAACCAAATCAAGTTGATAACAGTTTTACAGCCCGAACGCTATCCAACGGAGGAGTCACGTGTTGGGCTTGTTGGAATCTTACTTATAGGATAAGCTCTATCATGGTTTGCTCCTTTGTTTGAGAAACGATCGTCCATTCTAAACAACTTTGAAACCTTTTTGGAGGCATTTGCAGAAGCATTTGGTGAACACGACAAGGTTCGATGGGCTACAACAAAGATCCGGTCACTACGACAAGGGATGCGTTCTACATCAGTCTATGTATCGGACTTCAGGCAATTAGTATACGACATCGATT